CGGATAACGCTGTCAGTCTATGTAGACGGGTATGGGAGTGCCTGGGCCCGATCATGTGTGACTATCGTTACATACCAGATTGATATCACGATTTCATTATATTCTACACGGATATATAGCGTTGCCATAATTGTGAGATAAGTTACCTATTATAAAGGAGAATATTAAGTGCTGTGTGATGGAGCGTGTGGTATTTCCACAGACTATATATCTGTCGCAAGTACTGTCCTTGTTCATACCTCCATACACCCTGGCCCCTCCCCACACACTGATCGATTCCATCTCACGATAATGTATAACTGCTCTAAAGATGATTCTCAAGAACCAAACCTTTTCATATGACTACAGTTTCTGTCGTCACAGTATAATGCAGCCATATGAAAGAAATTTTATTTAACTTACTTTGAGCAGTATATCAACTTGCTTTTTTTTAGAAATACATGTTCACAGATAATGCTTCTTACAAAGTAAGTGACAAAAATTTCAATGTGAAACCCAGGCTTAGTTGTATTTAGTTCATGACGAAACAGGAACTAAAGGTGTTGATGCCTGTGTATTCCGATAAGGCTAGACCAATTTTATTTCTTGTTTTACGGATTTTTGTCCTCAGAAAACCTAGAGGCGGGAGGGATTTTTTAAAAATAATCACCAGGCAAAGTAATATTCCTTTTAAATACTAAAAGTATTTTATTTCGGGCAATTTATAAAGTGTATATGAGGCTAACTGTATTGGGCCAATAAAAATATTAGGATTCTATTTTTTGAGCGGGGACATTTTTTTTCTTATCCTTGAAAAAATATGACAGGCGGATCCGTAAAGCAAGAAATAAAATTGATCTGGCCTAATCAGTCAATAAATAATACTAACATACTCTGCTGAAAGATAAAAGACGCCGACAGTACCTTATCCTGCTATGAAGTACTTTTCGAATTAGCTTCGATAGGTCATAAGTTGTCAGTAACAATAGGTTCAAGACGCCAGTGTGTTTTTGCAGTCAATAGATAGTGTATACAGTTCTCACTAGTTTCATACATATCATCACTGACTGCACGTAGTGTTTATTAGTGTTCAGTATCCAAATATGAAGGTAAGGCCGGCATGAACAGAAGGCCGACCATGAAAATACGCTACCGGGTTTGCACTTGACGAAAACATAACAAAATTTAGCAAAACGTTACAATTCTGAAAACGGTCGCCACAACAAAGATTCAAATCAAGACAATGCTACCGGTGTCAAATATATATCACTTTAATAACCATGGCTTGTTTGCTTAATTTTAGCCACCGTCAAACACGGATACAGATTTTCGTTTAGGTTTAAAAAAAGATTCACGGCGGTAGGGTGAGCTACAGACACATGAATTAATAAAACAAACAGGATACGATTTTGGATTATTAAATAGCCAAGTCATGTCCCAAGGCACGCTATTATCGCTTTGATTCGCATTACTTGGTGAATGACGGAAACAGTGTTTATTTCATAAATATTATGGTCCGGACTGAAAAGTTGCTGTCTCACGTGGACATCCCAGTTTAATGGCATCCTCCTGGCCTGTTACCGTGACTTGATGATGACGTCACACAACCTGACCCCAAGACATGACTGCGCAGTTATAGACACACTGTCGTGTGCTAATGACAGATATGTAGATTCCAAGTAGAGCATACAGCAATAGAAAGTCGTAGGCTGAAAATGATGACTAAATTTCGTTCTACTTGGTAAATAAAATCGTATCTGGACATATAAAATGCAAGCATTTTTCAGATGATATTTGGACACGCACAGACACACGCACGCACGCTCGCACACACACACACACACACACACACACTCTCTCTCTCTCTCTCTCTCTCTCTCTCTCTCTCTCTCTCTCACGCGCGCGCGCGCGCACACACACACACACATATATGTATATATATATGAGCCGCTTAAAATAACAATGGTAAATACAATATGACACTACATGTTTACCTATTCAAGGATGGCCACAACCTTTAAGTTATCTTTAGCTTTAGGCTGTATAGTATCAGCTGTATTCATTTTGAAGAAATAAATATCTTGAATTTTATTTCCATTCCTGTTGGGTGTTTTTGGGCCCTTTATTTGTTGTTTATGGATACACATAGTAACATGTTATAACGTAAATAGTAGTTTTGTCGGAGCAGTCCAGGTTAAAGTGTACATGGAATACCTCTTTCATGTTTTTGAATTTTATACAAATAATTTCATCTATATATTTGCAAGTTCCACAATTTGCCCTGTTATATTTTGATAGCCTGAATTCTGTAGATATGTTACGTGAGTCGAATTCAGCACGTGTTAAAGTCTGTTGTAAGTTAAGAGTCGGTCGTTTACTTTTTATCATTGCTACCTTGGCTATAATTCGATTCATTTTAATATCAGCATTTACAATTGGAACAGTTTGTCAAATGTTATGGAAAAGTTCCGGATTCTTGGGGTTATACGAAGATACACTGATTGATAGTGTTAGTGTTTTGCTTATCACGTACTTTCACCCGCCGTGTCTTTCTGTGGTTGTGGCTTTATTTACTCCACCTTCTACAAGTGGAGTCGGGTATCCGCGGGATTGTAGATGATATTTTAATTCCGAGAGTCGCATGTTCCTTGTAGACATATTTCACACGATCATGCAGATACGCCTTGCAAAATTATATGGAATGCTTCTTTTTGTATGACGCGAGTGACAGGATGAAACATGTAGATATTGCTTAGTAACTGTAGATTATAGTATATATCTGTTTCTAGATTACGTCCACATATCTTTATCATAGTGTCCAACAATAGAATGTCAGAATGACTAGAGTCCGTGGTAAAATCCAGATGTTTGTTCAAATTGTTTAGAATGTTATGAAATATAGTTCATTTGTTGTCTTCAAACTGCCACAGCATAAAGCAATCGTCAAGGAAACGTCGCCAAAGTATTTTCCAACTTCAGATCCTAAATGTTCTCTCACTTTGGTTTCTCGTACTCTTTCTTAGTATCCCCAACTAATTTGTAAGTGGGTGCTATTCTAATTCACTCCTTTATATATATATTCCTGTATATACATACCCGTGTCTGTGTCAGAGCCTGCTGTACGTGCGTGTACATAGATATATCATGCCAGTACACCTGTCACTCACATACATTGCATCAACTGTTTGTTTGCTGATGATGTGTTGCAGAACTCCTGCCACTTGATGAGCCACGTCACGACAGTCGAGCGTGCGTAGAAATGGGCGTGATGATGTACACGCTGTTGGGGCTGTTCATGACATAACAAGATCGCCCTATCCTCCGTAATAAATCCAGCACGATGTATTGCCTGGACCTCCGTCTGTCATCGTACAAGGCTTCAGTTAGGACTGTGACAAATGGCCTTGTCAAACAGTGTGGACCAAGTTTCATACTTAGCAAGAAATGTTAGCCAAAATTAAAATAACAAGAACGCTACGTTTAAAAATCCTGTTTAAATTGACTTTGAAAGTTTTGAGACTTACAGGACGACAATAATTTTACAATACTTCAACCCCCTTTGAGGGTACATCCACTAACAATCCCAGTTACTAATCCAAGCTACCAATAATAAAATACTTATCTATTCACAAACCGTTTTTAAAAAAAATATCTAGCAATTCTATTTCTTTGAAAAATTCAATGAAATATTTGAAATATTTATCCCTTGTGATAGAAAAATCAATACAGTCAAGTAGAACATGCTTGACCGTGATTCCTTCATCACAAGGGATGAAAAACGGAGGATCTTCACCTTTAAGCAAATGTTCATGTGTATATCTTTTGTGGCCAATACGACATCGTCGTATGATGACCTCTTCAAATCTGGACTGACAACCTTAAAAGCGAGAGAGTTTTATTGGATATACAACTTCTTTAATATAATGTAAACGACGTTTCGGTGTAGCTGCTAACACCGTTATTAAGTATTATAATAACGAAGTTGTATGTCGATAGAACTCTCCCGGTGTTGATGTGTTTGCAGTCTGTAGCGCCAGTTACACAGTAGAATGTTCACTTGTGTGGAATGCATCCCAGTTCTCAAAACATAGTGATCACAAGTCCATACATGTCTCTGGTTAAGTACTAGTCTAAATCATGACTATATACCAGGCAACAAATACAGCAATTCAGATGCAGAACAGCCACACTTGTTCAAAGATGGTATTGGAGTATATCCGGTTAAGTATAAGCACTTCACGGATTTAACAGAATGATTAGCGACTGCACCACAACATTTGTTCGGCGAGGTTAAATAGGATGTATACATACTTGATCAATAGGATTATATCAGATGCAGTGCAAACATTCGTTCAATCACATCAGGTTAAATTGAGACCGACTTTCAGTTGTATAGATCGATGAGACATGATGCTTTAAAAACTCAACTAGTTCAAAAAGATTATTTCCATTGCAGTGCAGACACTATTTCAGCCAAACCATATCCATCATATCCACACCAGATAAACAAACTTATATCAGACCCAGCGCAGACACTTGTTCAGCAAACATATATCAGACCCAGCACAGACACTTGTTCAGCAAACATATATCAGACCCAGCACATACACTTGTGCAAGAAACTTTTATCAGAGCCAGCACAGACAATTGTTCAACAAACTTATATCAGACCCAGCACAGACAGTTGTTCAACAACCTGATATCAGAGCCAGCACAGACAATTAATGATAATAATAATGATAATAAATATACACTTGTATTGCGCTTGTTTCCAGTATAATCAACTGCTCAAAAGCGCTTGTGAGCAATGAACTGTCCTGGGAATACACAGTCTAACAGTAGCAGACTTTAAACAAATGTGTTTTCAGTAGTGATTTGAATGATTCAAACTCAGGGGCACTTCTTATTTCAAGTGGGAGGGAGTTCCATAACTGGGGGGCTGAGATTTCGAAACTTCTCTCGCCAAGTGATGTACGAGCTGACGGAAGCTTCAAGAGACACTGGTTACAAGAACGTAGAGTTCTCCCAGGTTTATATTCTTGGATGAGTTCAGAAATGTACGGAGGAGCATCGCGGTGGATAGCACGGAATGTCAGAGTCAGCACTTTAAACTTGATTCTGTCCTCAACTTTGAGCAAGTGGAGATCTTTCAGGATTGGGGTGATATGTACTGATCTTCTGGTTCTCTTGATCAGTCTTGCGGCAGAATTCTGGACTTTCTGAAGTTTAAAGACAAGACGTTTTGGCAGCCCGAGAAGAAGGGAGTTGCAATAATCCAGATGGGAGATTACACAGGCTTGAACGAGCAAAGTTGTTGTTTTGTTGTTGATAAACTGTCGTATCTAACTGATGTTTCGGATATTCATGTAAGCTTTTTTGCAGACCCGGCTTACATGGCATTCAGCACTGAGTGTGGAGTCAAACATGACACCAAGATTTCCAGCCTCCTGGCTAGGTTCGATGACACAAGATGACAACTTAAGAATGGGAAGTGTTAACTTTGTTCTCATGGCTTTTGATGTAATCACAAGCATCTCAGTCTTTTCCTCATTCAGCTTTAAGAAATTCATGGTCATCCAAGTCTTGATGTCTTCTGTGCACTCCGCAATTCTGGAGAAAGCAGTATTGATTGAGGTTTTATCCTTTGGCTTGAATGATAGATACAGCTGTGTATCATCTGCATATAGATGAAAGCAAAAATTGTGTGCTCTGGCAATATCTCCAAGTGGAGAAGTGTACATCGTGAAAAGTATAGGTCCCAGTACCGAACCTTGCGGAACACCATACTTGAGCTCTGTCATGTCAGAGCTATATCCATCCACATACACAGCCTGGTATCGGTTTGACAGATACGAATTTAGCCAGAGTAGCGCTTCTCCAGTAACTCCAAATCTATCATTTAGAGTACGAAGTAGTATTCCCTGATCGATAGTATCAAAGGCAGAGGAAAGATCAAGGAGTATGAGTACTGCTGCACCATCTTTGTCAACAGCCTGGAGAAGATCGTTCTGAACACGAACAAGAGCAGTCTCAGTGCTATGCCCTTTTCTGTAAGCAGACTGTAGCACTTCCAGTTGACCGGTACTCTTCAGATGCTGGTTTAATTGTGAAACAGCAACTCGTTCGAGTAACTTGGATGCAAACGACAGATTGGATACAGGTCTATAGCTTTTAAAACCTCTGCATCCAGTTGTGTTTTTTTCAACAAGGGTGACACAAAAGCTTTCTTAAAATCTGCAGGAACAGAAGATTCGAGAAAGGATTGATTTACAATGTGAGTCATCACAGGAACAACCTCATCCAAACAGTCCTTGGGGAGTCATGTCGGTAACGGGTCCAGGGAGCAAGATTTGTTTGGACATAGAGAGATAAGTTCCTGGTTTCGTTCTCATAAATATGGGAAATGAGGATTGTGAGTGATGATTATCAGGAACGCCACTGGTGGGGATGGTGGTAACAGGTCGCACAGTTATACTTTCCAGACTAGAACGAAGAATTTCAATCTTTTCCGTGAAATACTTGGAGAAAATATTCACCATTTCGAGTTTAGAGTCATAGTTTGGCAGAGGCTTTGAATGCTTCTTGAACAAAAGTCTGCCACACAGTCGATAAAGATCCTTTTGGCCATTAGACTTTTCAATTGCATCATTGTAAAAGGTTTTCTTTTCCTTGTATAAGGGCATTGACAGCGTTGCGCTGGGCAGAATGCATCTCTTTGAAGACTACCAGATCAGACGCTCTCATCCGCCTCTCCAACTGTCGTCGATACTGTTTTGCTGCCCGGATTTTGTCATTGTACCAAGGTTCTTTTGAGTGTACTGTTACAATACGTTTGGATATCGGAGCAAGGTCATTAATGACTTTACGGACTTCACTATCATAACGACAGGCACATGCTTCAACACTAAGCTCAGAATTACCTTCAAGTGCTGTGGAAAGAGCTGACTTCAAAACAGGAAGACTGATACAATCCCATTTCCGGAATGATAGTTCCTGTCTTGGTCTTCTGGGTATTGAAAAGCTTGCTCTAGCGAGGATAGCAAATTGATCAGATTGAACTGACTGATCAACGCCAGTGATCTTTAAGTTGAGTTCTTCATCTCTAGTGATGATGAGTATGTCCTCGAACATGTGTCGGAACAGAGACATGCTGAACGAGTCCATGTGAGGAAAGAATACACAAAAACTGTTCTGTATCTGAGAGATGAACATTATCAACATGTATGTTGAAGTCACCTAATATCAGAAGTTTACCAGGGACACTGTTAAGGAATTTCAGAAAACAGGCAAACTCAGTAAGAAAGTCTTTTCCATCATGACACGTTCTACCGGGAGGCCTAGAAATTGCAACAAGATTATATCAGAGCCAGCACAGACAATTGTTCAACAACCTGATATCAGAGCCAACACAGACAATTGTTCAACAAGATTATATCAGAGCCAGCACAGACAATTGTTCAACAACCTGATATCAGAGCCAGCACAGACAATTGTTCAACAAACTTATATCAGACCAAGCACAGACAATTGTTCAACAACCTGATATCAGAGCCAGCACAGACAATTGTTCAACAAACTTATATCAGACCCAGCACAGACAATTGTTCAACAAACTTATATCAGACCCAGCACAGACAATTGTTCAACAACCTGATATCAGAGCCAGCACAGACACTTGCAATTGTTCAATAAACTTATATCAGACCCAGCACAGACAATTGTTCAACAAACTTATATCAGACCCAGCACAGACAATTGTTCAACAACCTGATATCAGAGCCAGCACAGACACTTGTTCAACAATATTATATCAGAGCCAGCACAGACAATTGTTCAACAACCTGATATCAGAGCCAGCACAGACAATTGTTCAACAAACTTATATCAGACCCAGCACAGACAATTGTTCAACAACCTGATATCAGAGCCAGCACAGACAATTGTTCAACAAGATTATATCAGAGCAAGCACAGACAATTATTCAACAAACTTATATCGGAGGCAGTACAGACACCGGTTCAACAAGATTATATCAGAGCCAGCACAGACAATTGTTCCACAAACCTATATCAGACCCAGCACAGACACTTGTTCAACAAACTTATATCAGACCCAGCACAGACACCTGTTCAACAAACTGATATCGGAGGCAGTACAGACACTTATCATATCAAATACAGTACGGACAGTAGTTCAACAAGATTATGTCAGACGCAAGACACTGCATCGTTCATGTTGAGACCACTGTACACAGCTAGAAACACTGCATCGTTCATGTTGAGACTATTGTACACAATTTCATCTTTTGAGCATACACCATGCCTTCACCTTTTCAACCAAACTTTATCAACTTGATGTCAAGGACAGATAATATGATAACTTAGGAAATGATCCAGATAGCTGTAATAGAAAACTAGTGACACGGGCACAAAGTATACCATCGTCGTCATGTATACCATTATACCCTCGTGTTTGATGTTAACTGATAGACGTGTAGGTACAGCTTGTATGAATCCAAGTTGTTCTTTTGTTTTGTGCTTGTCGGCAGTGTATGACTCCAGTCGTCCTACGATATCAAACTATTAATCATGCACAATGCTCTCACTGTGTGTCATGGCTCGCGCACATCGACGTGTGGTATAAATGACACTCCTCCATACAATTGCTACATTAGCTCACTAAACATTCTTTACAAATTGTTTCTCCGTTGTTATTTAACGTCTTCTGTGTAATGGTTGAGGGGAAGATTGGGGAGGCATGTACCTTTGTTCATGTAAACACCTGCTAGACATACTGTGTAACCTGTACAAGTACCACAAGTCACTGTACTCCAGGGCTATACGCGTGTGTGTCTCGATATGTGTGTTTGATTGGGAAACAGCCAACAGGCAAGTGACGAATGAAACCGTTCTTGTGAGGATGGAAGCTCGTACATCATTCCGAGGCCCCGCCCCTCGCCCCGCCACAGACACCGCGCCTCAGGCAGGTAAGCCATATAAAAAGCGAAAGTCGCCAGGCGCGAACTAAAACTCATTCAACTGGAGTAATCAGCGTGCTCATCATCTGAGGACTACCAAGCTGCCTACATTTCACTAGTGTGTTTCGCTGTGACTATGGAAATACCCAAACTGATTCTGGTGAGCATGATTACGTATTTCTTCACAATGTACCATATTACATGTCGTTGACGTACGTATGTCTGACGGAACTATCCAGAAATATTCTGTAGTACAAGTTATACCAGGTTCACTTTCCAAATCCAGTTATACGCATTGCTCTCATTTAGCAGATTCGCCTTTATTTACACACTGAAAACTTTCTAAATTAGTAAAGTCATAAAACACACACAGACACGCTAAATATACGATATTATATATACATATGCTCATTTTAAAGCTTTGCGTGTGTTTTCGACTCCAAGGAATATGGTACCTATTAGTTACGCCAGGTCCATACCTAAGGATATGCTACCTTATTAGTTACGACATGTCCATACGTAGAGATATGCTACCTGATTAGTTACACCAAGTACTTACCTCGGGATATGCTACCTTATTAGTTACACCAAGTACTTACCTAGAGATATGCTACCTTATTAGTTACATCAAGTACTTACCTAGAGATATGCTACCTTATTAGTTACACCAAGTACTTACCTAGAGATATGCTACCTTATTAGTTACACCAAGTACTTACCTCGAGATATGCTACCTTATTAGTTACGCCAGGTCCATACCTAGAGATATGCCACCGTATTAGTTACACCAGGTACATACCTAGAGATATGCTACCTTATTAGTTACACCAAGTACTTACCTCGAGATATGCTATCTTATTAGTTACACCAAGTACTTACCTAGAGATATGCTACCTTATTAGTTACACCAAGTACTTACCTCGAGATATGCTACCTTATTAGTTACGCCAGGTCCATACCTAGAGATATGCCACCGTATTAGTTACACCAGGTACATACCTAGATATATGCTACCTTATTAGTTACACCAAGTACTTACCTCGAGATATGCTATCTTATTAGTTACACCAAGTACTTACCTAGAGATATGCTACCGTATTAGTTACACCGGGTACATACCTAGAGATATGCTACCTTATTAGTTACACCAGGTCCATACCTAGAGATATGCTATCTTATTAGTTAAACCAAGTACTTACCTCGATATATGCTACCTTATTAGTTACGCCAGGTCCATACGTAGAGATATGCTACCTTATTAGTTACGCCAGGTCCATACCTCGAGATATGCTACCTTATTAGTTACGACAGGTCCATACGTAGAGATATGCTACCTTATTAGTTACGCCAGGTCCAAACCTAGAGATATGCTATCTTATTAGTTACGCCAGGTCCACACGTAGAGATATGCTACCTTATTAGTTACGCCAGGTCCATACGTAGAGATATGCTACCTTATTAGTTACACCAAGTACTTACCTCGAGATATGCTATCTTATTAGTTACGCCAGGTCCATACGTAGAGATATGCTACCTTATTAGTTACGCCAGGTCCATACGTAGAGATATGCTACCTTATTAGTTACGCCAGGTCCATACGTAGAGATATGCTACCTTATTAGTTACGCCAGGTCCACACGTAGAGATATGCTACCTTATTAGTTACCATCGAAAATGCTGACTACCTAGGCTTGAGGACAGTGAGAGATGTTGGCGTTGTATGTTACCTGCAGTAGTGAGTTGAGCGACGTATTGATGACTGTGCAGGATGAATGTGGAAATTATAAAACGCAGCAACTGTTACCAGTGTGTGTCGAGCGCGTGTTTGTGTGGCGGTGTCACGTGTATATGGAACATACACTGCATAATTGATATAACATTGAGTGAACATAATTCTAATGTGTTTATGATATCGGTTAGTGAGTAAAGTATGCTAAAGGCGTAAGCCCTGGAGGAGTGCAACACGAGACGTAATCTTCATTAACTAGCATACAGTCTCGAACACACAGGCTTATATCAACAGTCAACGCGGAGCTTCACAACAATAGTAAATACAGAGTTCAATATCGATAGTAAACAGACGTTTACATCAACAGTCGAGCTGTTAAACTTAGGCAAATCATTCTTTGATAATATACCCATCCATAGGGCTCTTGGAGAGACATAAATCATCATACTGAATTCCCCTGTGCGAACGGCTACCCCACCGCCCCACAAAACATTAGAAGCAGTGGCCGTTATTTCCACCTCCGCCACTCCCTGTGGCGTTATGATTCGGACTCTTACACGAAAACCTTACTTTCTGACAATATAGGACATACTCCAAATGTTTAACATTTTGTTATCATGTTGGCATAGTGTCGTGGCGTCAAGCCTATGGTGGTTCCCCTACATGTCTCTGTGGTAAGGACATGAGAGATTCTTGGACTACCTGTGAGCGTGAGTCTAAATCTGAGGCATATTCAGAAAAGAATCAAGTAATTACTGACACATTTGTCACCTCCATGCAACCAGCCACTTTGAATGAGGGTATATTTTGGTTGTGGAAATGATGGTGCACAAACTGATCAACTAATGTGGGGAGTTGTTTAGATATGTGCGGTGGTGTGCGCGCGTTTGATGTGTGTATATGTGCGTTTGTGTGTGTTGTATGCGTGCGTTTGTGGGTTATGTATGTGTATGTGTGTGCGCGTGCAAGTGCGTGTGAATCCGTTCACGTGCACATGTGTGTATGTATGTGCGTTTCGGTGTGCTATTACACGACTCTGGCCTGAACTCATTGTATGTTGTGTGAACAACATATCGATGTACGAGGGGTGTCCCGTCCCTCCAACACCAACATATATCCTAACCAGGAAACTGTCTAATGAAATAAGGAACATAATATGTCTTTGAGAGCACCTAGAAGTTGGAGTGCTAAGGAAGGATAAGATGTATAGATGAACAACTTCTTTATTACAATAGAAGCGACGTTTGGCTATAGGTTTTATCAAGCAATTGATGATCCTTTTGCTTATAGTACAGGCCCCACCTGTTACCGTTTTACCTCTGACATTACCCATTGTGTAGTTAAGCGGCTTCCCCATTCTATTGAAACCCTAATCCAATCAACTGCTGGAACACCTTCTCATTTTCGCGTAAGTCTCTGAATCCATACTCTGTTCATCAGGGGTTTAATCACGCTCAACTTCCTGGGGAAAATAATAGTGGACATAGGTTAGTGACACCACTGGGCCAATACAAAGGTTAGTGACACCACTGGGCCAATACATAGGTTAGTGACACCACTGGGCCAATACATAGGTTAGTGACACCACAGGGCCAATACATAGGTGAGTGACACCACAGGGCCAATACATAGGTGAGTGACACCACAGGGCCAATACAAAGGTTAGTGACACCACTGGGCCAATACATAGGTTAGTGACACCACTGGGCCAATACATAGGTTAGTGACACCACAGGGCCAATACATAGGTGAGTGACACCACAGGGCCAATACATAGGTTAGTGACACCACAGGGCCAATACATAGGTGAGTGACACCACAGGGCCAATACAAAGTTTTCTTTGGTATGATGACTATCTTTACCGCGTAAATATCCAAGGAGAGACACACAAATGGTACAACTAGTTTCACAATGTCATTACTGAGATGAGGCATTTTACCAAGGTAAGTAATGCGTAACGCCAAGGGAACACCTGTTACACCACATTCTCAACATTACATAGATTTCAGGCATCAACTTCCAACATATAACTGATTTCAGTCCACATGACACTAACTCCCGCTGCGCCCGTCTAGTGGGTTGGGGCTACAGTCGGACGTAGGTGTGGGGGTAGAAGTTGGCTGGACATTGAGGGGCTACGTTCTATGTCCAAACTGTCCGCGGGATTACATCACATGGGGCAAAGATGTCTATTTAATACCACCTAACAATGTACATTAATGGGACATTTACAACCTCGGTCATATAATGTCGGAAGGATTGCGGGATTCCGTCGTGTGGTGCATGGGATTCTGCAATGATTAATGGCGACAGGCTACTGAGATACTGATGGTGTGTTCAGATGCATGCTGTAACCAGTCATAAAGAAAACAGGTTTCTATTCCGAAGACCAAGTTAGCCATGCATGGGAGTGATAGTCCACATTTGAAATACTGTACAAGATCAGATGGTCTCTCAATAGATTAAGATGGGCAAAGCATCCAGACATAAGGCCATTAGGTAGATTCGAAAATATGGAACATTTTCGTGCAAGGCCTTTCACATTGACTGTCCACTGCCCATGGTAATACTTGATTAGACTTGAAGAAACATATCGTCAGTTGTCAGTGTGATCAACGCACGGCCCTCAGCCTGAGAGAAAAGTGGGTCAAGCCGCACTACCAGAGATACTTCCGCCATGATCTATATCTCGTGACAGTACTCCATGACGCGGCCACTTCAACCTTAGCCAACATCATTGTTGATACCTGTTTCCTTGAAGTAACGGTCATCCATTACGCTAACTCTCACGTCAGGAAAGATAACAAACTATTTGGATTTTAAACCATTGGATATGCAGCCATGAATCAGGCCACAGGCAATTCGGCCTATTCTTCTGGTTCCTGGCCATGTAGTGTTAAGGCAATATGATGTATCTATAAACAGATATAGTGTCACCTGGCACACGCATTTATTGATATATTCATAACATAGACGTTGACTTGTTTTAATGGTAGTTTATGTGTGTTTATACGAGGGATCAACGAATGCCGGTTTAGAGGGCTTCCACAGTAAATATAAACTTTACTATATGCAGTATTCAGACGTGTGTCCAAGTGAAACTGGCTCATGTCAGATAGAAACTGGGATTCTCATCAAGAAAAGTGGGATTGGTACACCGTGTACCACTCATGTACAATCAGAATTAGCCTTTCGTAAACATCACATAATCTTGGAAATGTATGATCTATTCAGAACGCTATTTCCATTTTGCCGGAACTTTGCTTCTTTTACTATGGGCATTGCTTTATAAAACTGTAAATTTGGCTGGTCGTTTTCTACCCCCTGACCCACATATTGTGTTATACCCCTTGTACACAGACAGACCTGGTTGTTTTATACCCACTGTACACAGACACACCTGGTTGTTTTATACCCCTAGCACACAGACACACCTGGTTGTTTTAAAACCCTTGTACACAGACACACCTGGTCGTTTTATACCCACTGTACACAGACACACCTGGTTGTTTTATACCCCTAGCACACAGACACACCTGGTTGTTTTATACCCCTTGTACACAGACAGACCTGGTTGTGTTATACCCCTTGTACACAGACACACATGGTTGTTTTAAAACCCTTGTACACAGACAGACCTGGTCGTTTTATACCCACTGTACACAGACACATCTGGTTGTTTTATACCCCTTGTACACAGACACATCTGGTTGTTTTATATCCCTTGTACACAGACACATCTGGTTGTTTTATACCCCTAGCACACAGACACATCTGGTTGTGTTATACCCCTTGTACACAGACACATCTGGTTGTTTTATACCCCTAGCACACAGACACACCTGGTTGTTTTATATCCCTTGTACACAGACAGACCTGGTTGTGTTATACCCCTTGTACACAGACACACCTGGTTGTGTTATACCCCTTGTACACAGACACACCTGGTTGTGTTATACCCCTTGTACACAGACACACATGGTTGTTTTAAAACCCTTGTACACAGACAGACCTGGTTGTGTTATACCCACTGTACACAGACACACCTGGTTGTTTTATACCCCTTGAACACAGACACACCTGGTTGTTTTATACCCCTTGTACACAGACACACCTGGTTGTTTTATACCCCTTGAACACAGACACACCTGGTTGTTTTATACCCCTTGTACACAGACAGACCTGGTTGTTTTAAAACCCTTGTACACAGACACACCTGGTTGTTTTATACCCCTTGAACACAGACACACCTGGTTGTTTTATACCCCTTGTACACAGACACATCTGGTTGTTTTATATCCCTTGTACACAGACACACCTGGTTGTTTTATACCCCTTGTACACAGACAGACCTAGTTGTTTTATACCCCTTGTACACAGACACATCCGGTTCTTTTATACCCCTTGTACATAGACACACCTGGTTGTTTTATACTCTTTGTACAGAGACGGTCTTGGTTGTTTTATACCCCCTGTACACAGACAGACCAGGTTGTTTTATACACCTTGTACACAGACACACCTTTTTTTTTATACACCTTGTACACAGACACACCTGGTCGTTTTATACCCCCTGTACAGAGACAGACCTGGTTGTTTTATACCCCCTGTACACAGACAGATTAGAAAATATCACACCCTGTCCACTTCCGGACAAGCTAATTCTATTATAGTATCATATATCTACATTTACTGTCGAGGTATGTCGTGTTTGATAATAATATGTTTCATATATGTGTTTACATCAAGTGATAGCAGTGTGATTGTAAATTAATTATAAGTAATTCAGCTGGGCACGTATCCAGGAATGTACATGGACCTGTTACACAGCCTAGATAAGTATTGGCATATGGACTTTCCAGTACAGTAAATAGATTGTCTTTCTGTGATTGCGGCTGCACGTGAACACGGGACACTGTAAACGCTATTTCAAATAATATCAATTTTCAAACGGTTGCCCAGGCAAAACGGGTTCCGTGCCTACAAGGGCTGACACGTGATGGCCCGTGTTGCGATGACAACACCTTGTATTCTTGACAGCAAGTGGTGATGGATTAAATCCTAAGAAGTGAAGCGCGTGTGTGGACGTGCAGGTTGCCTTGCACACAGATAATACTGGGATCCTTGAGGCCCACAGTCGGAAGTTGGCGTACATATATTTGCTTAAACAATATTCCGTTATTCTGACTTGTGTACATAGGACTGGCCAACGTATACATTATGCAACAGATGTATCAACAGAAACCGTTTGGCCTTAGGCAATGTGTTATTGCGCCTTGAAGCCCGTCCTATACATCATAGCTTGACTATGACTTATAGCACCTCGCTCCATGGAAACCAAATCGACCAAGGACAATCGAATGTAGGAACATGTTTTCAGGCGTCAGTTAGTTGTTTTATTACCTACGAGGGCGAACATATCGGGGTTCATATTTTTCATACGATGCCCTAGGGCAAAATATCACTTTGTCATGGTGACGTGACGTCATGAACAAGGCTATGACGTCACGTTACTTCTGTGACTTTGCGTTCTACATGCGGCGACGGCGGGTAGCCAGCCTATGTTTGAAAGTAGGTTTGGGTTTATTTTCCTCAATTTGACTTCGGTAATAAACAGAATATTATATTCGTCCCCATATCATTCTATGTTTACGACACTCGTGCCTAAATATCGGTATATCCCTCGCTGTCCTCCACGTGCACTAGGCTGTTGTGTTTGGGCGTTTGAATCAAACATGGTGTTGGTGTGTTTCAGCACCCTTGTTTTTCGCCGTTTTTGACAATGTTTGATTTCACTCAAACTCAACGAATATTGAATCAGTTGATTCACTGCATGTTCCAACATGTCGTTTAAAGTGCCCTTTAAGCACATAAAAAGTTGCATTTACCTTTGAGTATAAATGACCTCACCACGTTGAAGTTTATATCTGACCATCAAATGTTAGGGTGTTCTCATACTTTTTGTTTGTAGTATATATATAATAAAATGGGCATAGTTCAAAACAGGATAAAGCCAAAGGATGCTACTGGTATCCGTTGGGATATTTTCAGGCCTACTGTCAGTGTTTACCAGCTGATGTCTATATGCGACCATGGAAGAATTGTCCATGGGGGGACACATAATTGAGACTAGGTATCAAAAGCACTAATCTCGGATACCAAATATCGATGTAGATGGATTACTGCAAAAGACGATCCCTACAAAAGTTGAAAACATCTCTATAGGCACTTGTGACTTTTGCAACATGGTTGTTGCACCTCTGTGGGAAAGCAAAACAGGAAGTGTTTAAATATTGTTTGTTTACAGTTCAACCAAGTAACTTCACGTGGTTCGTTACTGAAGATGTTTGTCACAGTTCACGTGGTTCACATCTATCCTCCTGTATGTTGGTATGTTTGTGTAGATAGCACCAGTGGAAGTACATGTGTCACCACTGCTGAAGGTCCGGGTTAGAATTGGTGCCCAGCAGCCCTTGCTTGTCGTAGGCCTACCCCTCAAAGACCCGGGTTACAAGTTGTGCCCAGCAGCCCTTGCTTGTCGTAGGCCTACCCCTCAAAGACCCGGGTTACAAGTTGTGCCCAGCAGCCCATGCTTGTCGTACCCCTCAAAGACCCGGGTTACAAGTTGTGCCCAGCAGCCCATGCTTGTCATAAGAGGCGACTTAAAGGGTTCGGATAGTCAAGTCTTGCTGACCTGATTCATGTGTCATCCCAACTGCGTAGATGTTCATGCTGTTGATCGCTGGATTGCCTTGACTCAACTATTTACAGACCGTCGCCATATCTAGCTGGAATATTTCTGAGTGCGGCGTGAATCAACAAACAAAGCATATCTCAGCATTAGGGGGGAACCATATTCCACAAGTCTTTGTCTAGGCTATATATGTGTAATTGTTGTATGGCTGTTGCCATTGTTGTAACTCTTGATGTATCCAATTGCAGATCTGCCCCTTGCTGTTGTACCTGGAAGCGTTTTCTCTAACATCCCCCACTGATGATGTGTTTGGGACATGCACACAGCTGTGCCAGGGACAGAAGGTCATCGACCACTGTGAAGGTTTATTGAGACATTATGACAAGGGAACAGTAGTGGACCAAGCCAACGTCATGTTCCTGTGCTGTTTGGGGTACGGTCTTAATGGTACCGGTATCCCTTACAAATCATACGAAGTAAAGGAACCTGAACTGGAAAAAATGGCTGACATAATGATGGAGGTCCACGACCGATATATGGCCTACAAGTATGCAACGTGTATTCGGGACTGCAGCTCGGGCGCATTGAAGACTTTGAAAGTGGATGAGGTCAAATCGTGTCGGTATGGTTCACAGAACTGCCCTACTTACAAATGCCCTGCGTAGGTGAACACATCGGCCGCAGTCAACCTAACGTTACCATTGTCTGTCGTGAAATGTGGATCGTATCGTGGTCATCACGTGACGCTACAGTTATGACATTGTGTCAAGCGTCAAAATGACGTGTCGCCCTGCCCCCGATCGGTGTCCACCATTCCGGAGATGTAGCCGCCGCCATCGCCGCCGCACCACATGAAGATCGTGTTGTCCTAACCAACTACTGACCAGTACTCTCTAACAAATGTAACACCTGGACCTAAAGCAATATCGCATGTAAACAGCGCAGAGACCTGTGACCTAACTGTGTAGCTCAGTGCGCGTTACTTCATGTACCATAGCTGTAGTGCGTCCGTCACTGTAACACCGTATCCTTATTGTTTTACAAGAAAAGCACACCTAGACAAGATTAAACTTTTTTATATGGTATATGATAACATCCCCACATATTCAAGTGTTACACGCTATTTGCAGGCTTTGTTTCTGTTCCATAACATTTTTAGTTACAGTGTGACTTCTACGTGTGTCTGTAGGAAGTCTTCTCTGTGTGTTATCAGATGTGTTCTGTTAAGGATTCTATGACTCTCTTTGGTGAACGTTTTCCACACCCCACCCCCCAAGTGACAGAGAAGTAACAAAGTTAACATCCCGTTTAAAATCAACATTTCATTTCAAGTTTTGAAGGTCCTTATCAACAATCATTGTACGCGAGTCCTTGTCCGTACCACTGTTTTAATGCTTAAAATACGCCATTACAAGAATACAAAAGAAGACAGGTATACTCCTGGTTAGTACTTGAGTACTTGGTGAGTGTGTGTGTTGAGTTCCATGTTCTGCTGGATCACAGGTGTGTGCATATACTATGGCATCAGATTAACTACCATAGTCTTAATGACCCTTCCGCTCGGAGTTGAGCTGACTACTCCCTATTACTTACATCTCGGCCAGTCCACTCATCAACACGTGAACACACCCCTGCCACGTAGGTTCATGACAGTCTCTAGCACTTCCAGATATGTGTCAAGAGAAGTAGTGGTGAAACATCAATTACCTCAACAATATCCTTTCATCCCCTTGAAAAGGTACTGACAGGGACGACAGTATACACCTTGCAGCATGCTTCGCCTGCCAAAGTCTAGATTATTATAATGTGGGATGTTTCACTTATGGTCCCTCCCAGTCTCCACAGTCAAAGGGAAACAATCTCTGCGACCGTTTATCCTTTGATATAGGTTAGTTTTAGCTGGATGAAGTCTTGTGGAAGTGCAATTATTTATGAACCAAGTGCTCTTTGTAAAATATATGTCCTACCTGTTTGTGTGTGTACCGATATTAAACAATGTATTTTATACTAACGTCTGTACATATAACATGTCTAAAATAACCAAAGCCAGTACTGAATGTAAAAATATTTATGAATAAAGTTTTCACTTTTCACTTTCTGAGTTGCCACTGTGATATTGGTTGGGCCACACCAAGGAATACACGAACACAAGATACTGATGTATTGTTAACTGTTATCAGGGACAAAACTGGATGTATTTTTATGATATTCACTTTTCAAATACGAACTTGGTATTTTCTCATGCTAGAATACCAGTGATGGATACTGAGGCCTCCCTCCTGAGCTTTAATGCCGAGTATTTCTACACCTTTCTTTGAACATCATAATTACACACATATACAAGAACAGTAACCTGTAACTAGACATTAATGCAAGATAAGAATAAATCCACCAACACCACAATCCCTGCTGTCATATCACAACCTCCACCAACACCACAATCCCTGCTGTCATATCACAACCTCCACCAACACCACAATCCCTGCTGTCATATCACAACCTCCACCAACACCACAATCCCTGCTGTCATATCACAACCTCCACCAACACCACAATCCCTGCTGTCATATCACAACCTCCACCAACACCACAATCCCTGCTGTCATATCACAACCTCCACCAACACCACAATCCCTGCTGTCATATCACAACCTCCACCAACACCACAATCCCTGCTGTCATATCACAACCTCCACCAACACCACAATCCCTGCTGTCATATCACAACCTCCACCAACACCACAATCCCTGCTGTCATATCACAACCTCCACCAACACCACAATCCCTGCTGTCATATCACAACCTCCACCAACACCACAATCCCTGCTGTCATATCACAACCTCCACCAACACCACAATCCCTGCTGTCATATCACAACCTCCACCAACACCACAATCCCTGCTGTCATATCACAACCTCCACCAACACCACAATCCCTGCTGTCATATCACAACCTCCACCAACACCACAATCCCTGCTGTCATATCACAACCTCCACCAACACCACAATCCCTGCTGTCATATCACAACCTCCACCAACACCACAATCCCTGCTGTCATATCACAACCTCCACCAACACCACAATCCCTGCTGTCATATCACAACCTCCACCAACACCACAATCCCTGCTGTCATGTCACAACCTCCACCAACACACCACAATCCCTGCTGTCATATCACAACCTCCACCAACACCACAATCCCTGCTGTCATATCACAACCTCCACCTACACCACAATCCCTGCTGTCATATCACAACCTCCACCAACACCACAATCCCTGCTGTCATGTCACAACCTCCACCAACACCACAATCCCTGCTGTCATATCACAACCTCCACCAACACCACAATCCCTGCTGTCATATCACAACCTCCACCAACACCACAATCCCTGCTGTCATATCACAACCTCCACCAACACCACAATCCCTGCTGTCATATCACAACCTCCACCAACACCACAATCCCTGCTGTCATGTCACAACCTCCACCAACACCACAATCCCTGCTGTCATATCACAACCTCCACCAACACCACAATCCCTGCTGTCATATCACAACCTCCACCAACACCACAATCCCTGCTGTCATATCACAACCTCCACCAACACCACAATCCCTGCTGTCATATCACAACCTCCACCAACACCACAATCCCTGCTGTCATATCACAACCTCCACCAACACCACAATCCCTGCTGTCATATCACAACCTCCACCAACACCACAATCCCTGCTGTCATATCACAACCTCCACCAACACCACAATCCCTGCTGTCATATCACAACCTCCACCTACACCACAATCCCTGCTGTCATATCACAACCTCCACCAACACCACAATCCCTGCTGTCATATCACAACCTCCACCTACACCACAATCCCTGCTGTCATATCACAACCTCCACCAACACCACAATCCCTGCTGTCATATCACAACCTCCACCAACACCACAATCCCTGCTGTCATATCACAACCTCCACCAACACCACAATCCCTGCTGTCATATCACAACCTCCACCAACACCACAATCCCTGCTGTCATATCACAACCTCCACCAACACCACAATCCCTGCTGTCATATCACAACCTTCACCTTCACCAGAATCCCTTTTGCAGTTGAACAACATCAACCAGTATCCGTGTGGGACATGCAAAGACAGTCACATTGCATTTTAAAGCCCATTGTCAGTTCAAGCTTTGTTTCCTGTTAGTCTTCATAAATCGTCTACCATATTTTGACCATTTAATTGATATTCATTTACCTCAAGGTATATATCAAGTTATTCATAATTCAGCACATTTAAGCAATGTTTGTCTATAGTACTCTCTGAGTCATCTACTTATGTATCTCAACCGTGACTTATTTCTGGTACGTACACTCTATTTGCATCCAAGCTGATGAATTGCCTGTCATTTAATGTCCGTCAGCCCCCATGGAAACTAATTCTAACATGAAACATAAACAAGTAAAAGTAGAACGCCCAGTTGAAGCCAAAATCCTTCAAAGGAAAACAGTACTATGTTTTGTCTTTTCTTTTTCATAGTCATTTGTATCACATATGGGCGTCTATTAACAAGCACATTTCTCAACATTGTACATCTTGACAATTAAGTGAATAACACCTTTGTGTAAGTATGTCTCTGTACAAGGCACTTATGTGTAAAAATGTGTCTGAACATGACACCTGCGTGTACACATCACTGCACACAACACCTGCGTGAACACATATCTCTGTTCATGACACAGGTAAGACAACACTGTAAGTTACACCAAGGTGTCAACAAATCTCTGTACAAGACACCTGTGTCTCATTACATGGCACATATGTGTAAGCATGTCCCAGTACATAACACCTGTGTAAGCACGTCCCAGAACATGACACATGTGTAAGCATGTCCCAGAACATGACACCTGTGTAAGCATGTCCCAGTATATGACAACTGTGTTAGCATGTCCCAGTACATGACACCTGTGTAAGCATGTCCCAGTACATGACACATGTGTTAGCATGTCCCAGTACATGACACCTGTGTTCAGTGTTAGCATTTCACTGTACATGACACCTGTGTTAGCATGTCCCAGTATCATGACACCTGTGTAAGCATGTCATTGTACATGAAACCTGTGTAAGCATTTCACTGTACATGACACCTGTGTAAGCATGTCCCAGTATCATGACACCTGTGTAAGCATGTCATTGTACATGAAACCTGTGTAAGCATTTCACTGTACATGACACCTGTGTAAGCATTTCACTTTACATGACACCTGATTCCAAGCACATCCATGTATTTGTTAGTATATCTGTACATGACACCTGTTTCTGAACATATGTCAGTACATGACACCTTGTGACTGTGCATTACATTGGTTTGCAACGACACCTTTGTTGTTTGTGCAAAATCTAGAGACAAAAATGATGACACACTGAAATCTATTAGAAGCAACAGTCAAGAATAATACAAAAGATATATTTTATTTTATATTTATACAAAGACCAACATGTGAGGCACTTGGACTGTTGCAAAAGTATCCTGTGTTTGAGAACACAACTTCCCCTGGCCACCGCAGGCTTCTATATAAGATCTACCTGAAGGTGGCTGACAGTACAGTAGTTAAACCAATGTTTCCTTAAAACATCACGTCATCACTGGAATAATGTTACTGACTGAGTTTGGTTTTACGCCGCTTTTAGCAATATTCCAGCAACATCACAGCAGGGGACACCAGAAATGGGCTTCACACATTGTACCCATGTGGGGATTCGAAACCGGGGAATAATGTTAACCTACATGACATCAGTCATATATTTCTGCAGTATCCCATGACATCATGACTGCTATATGTCATGCCACCACTGAAGCACTACAGTAAAACCTTACATCGCATCATTAAAACAGATCTTTGTATTACCTCATATGACATCATCGAAACAGTCCCATAGAATCTCATGACATGACTGAAACTGTAGTATCTCATGACATTGTTTAAACATAGTACTGCAGTATCTTATGAAATCATTGAAACATATTACTGTTGTATCTTATGACATCGTAAACACATATTACTGTGGTATCTTATGACATCGTTGGAACATATTACTGTGGTATCTCATATCATCAATGGATTATACCACTTAAATATCATTGACATCATACTTGCACAGCTCTCATTTTAATGAACCCACCTTAACATCTGAGCAATACATTACCATATACTTGTCTAGTTACAAACACTATTTTATCAGCAATTGATACACACAAAGTTATTCTCACATCTTAGAAAGAAGGCAGTCCATCGAACATCAAGGGTTTGTCAAAATTGTCATATGTGTCCTTCAGAGTCAAAAGCCAATTTAGGGCAAAGTTGGAGAAATTAAGTTTCATTGAATGCCAAAGAAACATCACTTTACAATTTAACTTTCCACTACACATTTCATTAAGAGGTATCATAGTAGGTTTGTGAAGGCTAATACTTGTTTCACACTAAGTGCCTCTCTTCACTGCTTCAAGAAACTGGACCTGCCTTCTGAAGCATGGTTCACAGGTTGTAACCACTGGCTGGTCATGTAACCTGGGTGGAAACTGATAGTAGTGACAGTTTCTCTCGAAGGCCTTCAGTGGGAGCAGTGGGAGCACAGTGTGACAGATCACCACTCTCCACAATGCATAATATCTTGTGAGGCAAGATATAGTAAATAGTGACTTATGTAAGCACATGGTGGGTGGTAACACCAGCAAGCAATGCAAGCACCTGACCCAAACATATCCCAGGAATGAAGCATAGAGGGTAAAGACATAAACAGAATGAACAAGATGCTTAGAGTCAATATATAACATGGAACTGTACTGCCGCTAGCATCAATAACTATCAACCTGAATGGCCACCAGGCAGTTAACTGTTCACATTTTATCAGCAATATTACTTAGTATATAAAAATCACATAACACTGTGTATATACAATAAATAGGTGTGTAAATAGGTTCTTCTAAATGGACTGTTCTAGATGTATATATACATAATAAATAATAAAATAATACTGCTAAAAGTACAGCACATCACAGACTATGGCGGCGTGCCTGTTGAGGCAGCTGGACCAGGATGCAGGGCACCTGCACATCACTAGTGTCTAGTATTGTTACAGTTTACAAACACCTGTCCCTGTCACTTCCTTTTATGCACTGAAACAGAGACTAAAACAATGATAGAAATACACTTTAAAAATCACATTTCTTGGAATAAGAAATATGTCAAAACCTATATGATTCAGTGTTTTCAAACTTATAAAATCTGCCTTCAGTAAAAGAAAAACCATTTGACTTTAGGAGGACTTCCAATAATAAAAGAACATAATATTCCATATGTATATCTTCATAATAATCTTAAATTTCATGGCATTTGATAAAAAGCTAAAAGATCCAGAACAAAACTTGATGAAACTTTATAGACAACAAATACAGTACTGACCAGAAAAAGACCTTCATTCTCAGCTGTAAATATGCTGGTAGAAACATACACTCGTTAGTATGACTGGTGTGTCTGCCAGTGTCTTATGAAACACACATGGCAGTTTCTGTACATAATGCTGGAAACTAGGAGATTTACATTTGATGACTACCAGAACTTGTTATGTCATCAAATCATCACCACTAGTCTTAGGGGTCTGTGGGAGAAAGCGTTTCCGGAATTCTTCATCAGACATAGACAATGGTGGGGGAGTCTTACCAACTTGGCCAGCCATTGTAGGTATTGGGGAACGAGATGAAGACCTGTGAGGTGAGCGTGAAGTTGACCTTCGTGGTGACCTGGATGATGATCTTGAACGTGTCCTTGAGGGTGATCTAGATCTTGAAGGACGATCTAATGTAGGAGGACTGTCAAGAATGCGGACATGATTCTTTTTCTTGGGTGACCCACTGGGTGTGGAAGACCTCAAGATGGATGTAGGCCTGAGATTACCACACTGGAGAAGAGAATACATGCTGTTTACTGTAATACACAACTGATGACATAAGCATACTTTTCACTGTTCATAATTCTTATTTCCCAGCCTTGTTGAGAACTTTTAGACCTATAAACAGGTGTCTGCCATGCAGTCTATGGTCCAAAGAAGTCCAGTGGTTACCCACCTCACTTGCACAATCCACAAGTCAACAGTATATATTTTCCTGTCCTGTCCATAAGAATTTCTTGACTTACTTAAAGGTCACATGCAACCAAAAAATCAAACATAATTAAAACACAATTATCACTTATTCATAACATATAATATACATTGCTGGTTATGAAAAAACATATAAACAAAATTATAAGCGTACAATCGCAAATCAAAAGTGCAATATTGTGTACTTGCGTTTAGTTCCCAAGAAACGAAGCAGCCGGGATACCGCACCCAGTCATAGCGGGTGGGTGTGCACTCAAGTGTAACCGCTGGTTCATTTGCAGATGCACTCACGGCTCATTGTGTGTGTATATCCAGAGATGTTGGGTTTTGTAAATACATGCTCATTTTTTTGTGTATAACATTTTGCAATCAACAGACATCATAACATGTCATGTGTTCAAGTATCACACCTGCCTGTCTGTGTAATTACATAATGTGACAGAGAACGAACTCGGGCCATAAATCAATGCGTTTTGTTTATGGTGTATAACCTGATTGGTGTTAAGTTCAAATTGCATGTAGTCAGTAATCGCAGTTGTGTATTGCATATTGTCATTAGCAGACAGGCAAGCAGACACACAGGTGTCAATAAAACAAGACATTGAGTTTTGTCTGTGACAACAACATATCTATATCACAGTTAGAAATTCTGTCAACGCTAAATAATGACATTGCTTTTAAGTATCGAACTGAGAAAGTGACTCGGTAAGAAGAACGTGCGGTGAAATAGACAAATGAAATTATATAAACAGTTAATTTACTGTCATAACATATAAAAAGCTTGCGCCTGTGAGATATCAACAAAACATTAGGAAAATAGCTCACACCAAAGCCTTCACCGAGTATTCACCGGACAGCCCGCTTCCAAGTTGCACAAACCTATTTCACTGCGCACGTGCTATGAGCGCAGCCCAGCTGTTGAAACCAGTTTTCCCCCGAAACGTTTGAACTCCGATTTCGCGCGTTTTTTTTCATCGCGTTATTTTTCAACTTTATAAGTTGAATTTGCATTTTTGATGATTTGTTTCGGTAAGTCCATACCGAAAGGTATCAGAATCTGCAAAGTTGTGTTTTACGTTGCATGTGACCTTTAAGAAAGTAAAGGTTTGGACAAACAGTGGCCACCAGGGGCGTAGCTGCCATATAGGCAAAAAAGGCAATTGCCTACACATCATTTTGTAAAAACAAAAAATTAAATAAAGGAAATGATAAATTTGAAAGAAAAATGTTACAGGTGAATTTATTTCAACATGCTGAAAGCATGGATATGTATGTATAATAATTGCATTCTAAACTTTTTGAGTACACATAACTGGCTCAGATACGCCCCTGGCCTCTCTGGTAAAAGTGGTTTTAACATGCCTCTCCTTATATATGGCTTCCCTACTGGCTAGCAAACAGTTATAGCTGCGTAACAGTTATCACCAATACATCAGTATCACATGTGCGCAGTTCCGGTCAATTACAATTCCGGTATTTTTCCCCACGGTATTTGACACCAACAGCAAGGACAGCAAAAGAAAATTCTTCATGGTAAGTAACATAAGAGAAAAATTAAAGATAAAGTTATGAATCCTATAAATTTGTTTAACTTAGTCGGGAGTATGTCCCATGACCTATATAATAGCAAGTTCAAGTTCACAAGTCATTAATTGTTTCATTCCTTATCCGTCTACTGTAGAAGAAACACTCAAATAGTCACACAATCAATTATTCAGGGTTACTTTATGATATAAATATATATTATTTCAAGAATGGCATGAGAAATTCTGAATGGCGATAACTGTTACAGTTTGTTGTGAGAAAACACAAAAGCGGGCTGGACACATCGGTGAATAACTAATTAAGAATCATAATTAATTCTGTTTCATTAATTTAACGAACGAGCGGAGTAATTTTGTAAATACTGCTAAAATATGGTGATAACTGTTCAGTAGCCAGTACAGTAATGATGTAGTGGTCAATGGCAAAGGTTTCTAATCAGGTTGACACATGAAGTCTGAGCTGTTCAGTCTGCCAACCTAGTGACATCAGTCAGTGACATCTTCCATGGGATCAATGACCACGCAGTACCAGTATGGTGTCAATGAATGTGAGCTCTTCCACATCACCAAGGATCCAGACACTGGATCCATGATGCTGTACATACAGACGAATAACCATCCAGGTCTTTTGCCTTCTTCTTTCTTTCTAGCAGGCATTAGCCAGTTTGACAAACATATCTAGGAAGAGGGAGGCGCTCTGAGAGTATCTAACATCGACGGAACAGAGTGAATCTGTGCACGTCCAGCAGGCTGAGTGTGGATCTCCATTACCTTCTACTGTCCACACTTTCTACAGGCTGCTGGTGACATCCCGTCCTACATGCCACTATACCTACTTACAGGAACAAACCCACAAACATCTGCTGAAAATATCATTCGAAGTATTTAATACCTATAAGCTAAAGCCATTTGATAACTACAGAATGAAAAACTACCAGAGCGTTCTAAACAAAATAATTTTCAGATGTTGACAGGCACATAAAACATAAAGAAGAAATGTTTCCTTCACAAGTGCATTGTCAGCGGGACACTATGTCTGCACAACTTATTCTAGAAATCTGACAGTGAAGAGGACTTCTGTTGAAAACTTAAAGAAATTTATTGTGCAATGACAGCCCAAATATATGCTTGATTGGCATTTTAGAAGATGATATTTGATGAACATAGAGATTTTTTCTGGGTTACATCTTCTTTTTATACTCGAGAATAAAAAGAAGATGTAACCCAGAAAAAATCTCTATGCTCAGCCCAAATATAGGATTATTGGCAGTGATGTAATAACAGTGGAATATTTGCAGGAATTAGATGCCTTAATTCCAACTAACACAGATTGAAAACTTGATATCTACAAGCAATAGCCTACAATTATCAGCAAAATAGGTTTGGTGATTATTTAAACAAAACCACTGTTCATGTCACCGTTCTTCTTAAGATGTTCCAATGTATCTCTTTTCAAACCACATCTATCTATTTAATTACATTGCCATTTAATACTTCATAAAAATTGCATTGAATTTGTAAAGAAGGAAAACGTGACTTTGGTGAAGGCTTTATGTTATTTCATGACTGTAGAATATGATGGAATATTTAAAAGTGGAGATAAAAACATTACAAGTGTCAACCCATCCTCTGCTATGGGGTCAGTTCTATGCTGTGTCTATCTGGGGAGATATAGTTAAGTGTCTACACTACCAAGTGTTTTCCTCTACCCTGTTCACCTGGGGCAATATGTCCACTAGTTGCCATGTTGTGCTGGGCACTGAGCCTGAGGCTGCTGTCGTCTAAGCAGGATGGGGTGCCTATGTGACTGAGGCATTGCTTCCTCTGTGACAGATGGGCACAATGTGTGAAGCCCATTTGTGGTGTTCCCCGCCGTGATGTTGCTGGAATATTGCTAAAAGCGGCGTAAAACCAAACTCATTCAGTCAGTCCTCTGTGACACACAATAGGCACATCTCTTACATTCCTACATGTGAATAAGGCGTTGCTCTCTCTGTGACAGACAATGGGCATGCCTCTTACATTCCTACATGTGACTAAGGCGTTGCTCTCTCTGTGACACACAATAGGCATGCCTCTTACATTCCTACATGTGACTAAGGCGTTGCTCTCTCTGTGACAGACAATAGGCACGCCTCTTACATTCCTACATGTGACCAAGGCATTGCTCTCTCTGTGACAGACAATAGGCACGTCTCTTACATTCCTACATGTGACCAAGGCATTGCTTCCTCTCTCAAAGATGCAAAGTAATCCTGTTATTGGCCATTCAAGTCTCCACAAGAAGCCTCATTTTGTGATAAAAAGGTCTCTATCCTCATCTAACTACTTTTAGAGCAAGGGCTTATTAAGTATAATCAGAAAAATATCTGCACTCTTTATCCATGCACCTTTCCTACTCAAGCTAATTTAATCCAAAAACAATGTTACAGGAAGCACAGCCATAACCTCTCTGACCGTAGAAGAAATACATATCACCTGAAGCTGTTGCACAATTATGTGAAAATTACCATAAATGTAAATATCTCAAGTTAGATTGCGACTTTAGAAGCTCCTGCTAATCAATGAAGTAGTTACCATTACATAATTACACAGACACTGTGCATTATTACTAAATAAAAATCATGTTAAGCCACAATGTTGCATGACTTTCTAACTTTCTTCTGTGCATAGCTTCCCACACTTTTTTTGTCACTGAAATAACATATACAGGTTATGGACATCAACCCGTAATATCTACCCACTCATTCATGGACATTACCAGTGCATGCCCCCAGGATGGTTTCAGGTCATTAGGCCATCATAAAGCTTTATCAGCAGGTACCAGACACACCTCTACATTAATCACTCAGAACAATGCTGCATTGAAAGGTAAGGTATTATGGACAGAGGGCAGGGCAGTGCCTTACACCAGACAGATCTGGTAGTTTGACTTCACAAGCACTTAGGATAACAGAAGCTCAATCTATCAGCCATCAGGTTTCGATTGTTGACATGAGGCAGTGTTAAGAAGACGACAAATGACAATAAAGGTACTTTATCATATATCAGCACTAAAAGCACTGCTCAATGGGGTGATGTGTTCAGTAGTCAGACTCCACAGGAAGCTGGACCATCAGGATAAGATTTAACAAGGGCCATTGGCTGTTTAACATAGGCAGTGATTTCCATTCCCCTGCAGGGGCTACATGACACAATGTCCCAGTGTGAGGGACTCAGGCCTATCTACTGAACCATAGCTAAGTCTGTTACCTGGCCATTTGTATGGCTCCCCTGGTGAGAGGAGTAGCCAGTGGACTTGATATCTTCATGGAGGGACCTCATTGTCTCACGGAGTCTACACAATACAACAAAGAACAAAGTGTTAGTAACAGATTTTGTAGAAAGTTTGTTAAAACCACATTCATTACTTTCCCTAATGCAGATGTGTTTAGTTGTACAATAGACATTCTTGGAATCATCTAACACACCGCTTAATTCCCCAGGCATTTACGCGATGCCCAAATGTAGAGAATGGACACAGAAAAACAATACACTGCATACAGAGCGACGTAAAACATTATTCACTGAACCCACAACATACCAGTGACTTTGCTAAACAATTGGTTGTTACTTTCAGAGCAGTTATGTGCATCTATTATCATTTCACTCATCAGTCCACATGACCAACGATTCATTCCTGGCTCTAAAGAAATTACCAAACGTACAGTTCTCTACACTGTTACGTCACAGGACCCCCATATTGCTTGCAAGGACCCTTAAAACTAATAATTGGGTCCCTGGGACAGTCGAAGTAAAACCCTGACACCCTCAGTTACCATGCAGCATGCACCTAGTTCATGCACCTGTTCATTCCTTCTCTCTACATCAATCACACAGTGTCTCCCAGAGAGCAGACACCCTCCACAGTGTTCAGTATCCCTTCCTTCTCTCTACATCAATCACACAGTGTCTCCCAGAGAGCAGACACCCTCCACAGTGTTCAGTATCCCTTCCTTCTCTCTACATCAATCACACAGTGTCTCCCAGAGAGCAGACACCCTCCACAGTGTTCAGTATCCCTTCCTTCTCTCTACATCAATCACACAGTGTCTCCCAGAGAGCAGACACCCTCCACAGTGTTCAGTATCCCTTCCTTCTCTCTACATCAATCACACGGTGTCTCCCAGAGAGCAGACACCCTCCACAGTGTTCATTATCCCTTCCTTCTCTCTCACATCAATCACACAGTGTCTCCCCCTTCCTTCTACATCAATCAGAGAGCAGACACCCTCCACAGTGTTCAGTATCCCTTCCTTCTCTCTACATCAATCACACGGTGTCTCCCAGAGAGCAGACACCCTCCACAGTGTTCAGTATCCCTTCCTTCTCTACATCAATCACACAGTGTCTCCCAGAGAGCAGACACCCTCCACAGTGTTCAGTATCCCTTCCTTCTCTCTACATCAATCACACAGTGTCTCCCAGAGAGCAGACACCCTCCACAGTGTTCAGTATCCCTTCCTTCTCTCTACATCAATCACACAGTGTCTCCCAGAGAGCAGACACCCTCCACAGTGTTCAGTATCCCTTCCTTCTCTCTACATCAATCACACAGTGTCTCCCAGAGAGCAGACACCCTCCACAGTGTTCAGTATCCCTTCCTTCTCTCTACATCAATCACACAGTGTCTCCCAGAGAGCAGACACCCTCCACAGTGTTCAGTATCCCTTCCTTCTCTCTACATCAATCACACGGTGTCTCCCAGAGAGCAGACACCCTCCACAGTGTTCAGTATCCCTTCCTTCTCTCTACATCAATCACACGGTGTCTCCCAGAGAGCAGACACCCTCCACAGTGTTCAGTATCCCTTCCTTCTCTCTACATCAATCACACAGTGTCTCCCAGAGAGCAGACACCCTCCACAGTGTTCAGTATCCCTTCCTTCTCTCTACATCAATCACACGGTGTCTCCCAGAGAGCAGACACCCTCCACAGTGTTCAGTATCCCTTCCTTCTCTCTACATCAATCACACGGTGTCTCCCAGAGAGCAGACACCCTCCACAGTGTTCAGTATCCCTTCCTTCTCTCTACATCAATCACACAGTGTCTCCCAGAGAGCAGACACCCTCCACAGTGTTCAGTATCCCTTCCTTCTCTCTACATCAATCACAGTGTCTCCCAGAGAGCAGACACCCTCCACAGTGTTCAGTATCCCTTCCTTCTCTCTACATCAATCACACGGTGTCTCCCAGAGAGCAGACACCCTCCACAGTGTTCAGTATCCCTTCCTTCTCTCTACATCAATCACACAGTGTCTCCCAGAGAGCAGACACCCTCCACAGTGTTCAGTATCCCTTCCTTCTCTCTACATCAATCACACGGTGTCTCCCAGAGAGCAGACACCCTCCACAGTGTTCAGTATCCCTTCCTTCTCTCTACATCAATCACACGGTGTCTCCCAGAGAGCAGACACCCTCCACAGTGTTCAGTATCCCTTCCTTCTCTCTACATCAATCACACGGTGTCTCCCAGAGAGCAGACACCCTCCACAGTGTTCAGTATCCCTTCCTTCTCAATCATGTCTCAAGAGCACACGGTGTCTCCCAGAGAGAGCAGACACCCTCCACAGTGTTCAGTATCCCTTCCTTCTCTCTACATCAATCACACGGTGTCTCCCAGAGAGCAGACACCCTCCACAGTGTTCAGTATCCCTTCCTTCTCTCTACATCAATCACACAGTGTCTCCCAGAGAGCAGACACCCTCCACAGTGTTCAGTATCCCTTCCTTCTCTCTACATCAATCACACAGTGTCTCCCAGAGAGCAGACACCCTCCACAGTGTTCAGTATCCCTTCCTTCTCTCTACATCAATCACACGGTGTCTCCCAGAGAGCAGACACCCTCCACAGTGTTCAGTATCCCTTCCTTCTCTCTACATCAACCACACAGTGTCTCCCAGAGAGCAGACACCCTCCACAGTGTTCAGTATCCCTTCCTTCTCTACATCAATCACACGGTGTCTCCCAGAGAGCAGACACCCTCCACAGTGTTCAGTATCCCTTCCTTCTCTCAATCACATCAAGAGCCACCCTCCACAGTGTTCACACAGTGTCTCCCAGAGAGCAGACACCCTCCACAGTGTTCAGTATCCCTTCCTTCTCTCTACATCAACCACCAAGTGACACCTTGACAGCAACACCTCAATAACATGTCTAAGCACTCCACATAGCAATAACATGTAGACACTAGGGCAACTGACCTGTTATATCGTTTTTCTATCAAATCTCGCTCTTCTTGACCACCCTGAAACAGAGAAACATCCATAAATATCTGTTGTATATGAGGAACAAACAGCAAAGTTAAGAACTTAACTTCTGAATAAGTGAAGTACAGAGAAAACTGAGGCAGCGAGGATTCCAGAGACTAACCAAACACCAAGATTCATGGATCATCTGTACACACTATTATGTCTTTCGTTGTATACATGGGTATATGCCTGAGGCAGTAATCAATCTTTCATCATATACATGGGTATATGCTAGAGACAGTAATCAATCTTTTATCATATACATGGGTATATGCTAGAGACAGTAATCAACCTTTCATCATATACATGGGTATATGCTAGAGACAGAAATCAATCTTTCATCATATACACGGGTATATGCTAGAGACAGTAATCAATCTTTCATCATATATACGGGTATATGCTAGAGACAGTAATCGATCTTTCATCATATACACAGGTACATGTTAGAGACAGTAATCAATCTTTCATCATATACATGGGTATATGTTAGAGACAGTAATCAATCTTTCATCATATACATGGGTATATGCCTGAGACAGTAATCAATCTTTCATCATATACATGGGTCTATGCTAGAGACAGTAATCAATCTTTCATCATATACATGGGTATATGCTAGAGACAGAAATCAATCTTTCATCATATACATGGGTATATGCTAGAGACAGTAATCAATCTTTCATCATATACATGGGTATATGCTAGAGACAGTAATCAATCTTTCATCATATACATGGGTATATGCCTGAGACAGTAATCAATCTTTCATCATATACATGGGTATATGCTAGAGACAGTAATCAATCTTTCATCATATACATGGGTATATGCTAAAGACAGTAATCAATCTTTCATCATATACATGGGTATATGCTAAAGACAGTAATCGATCTTTCATCATATACACAGGTACATGTTAGAGACAGTAATCAATCTTTCATCATATACATGGGTATATGCTACAGATAGCAATCAATCTTTCATCATATACATAGGTATATGTTAGAGACAGTAATCGATCTTTCATCATATACATGGGTATATGCTAAAGACAGTAATCAATCTTTCATCATATACATGGGTATATGCTAGAGACAGTAATCGATCTTTCATCATATACACAGGTACATGTTAGAGACAGTAATCGATCTTTCATCATATACATGGGTATATGCTGGAGACAGTAATCAATCTTTCATCATATACACGGGTAAATGCTAGAGATAGCAATCGATCTTTCATCATATACACAGGTATATGCTAGAGACAGTAATCAATCTTTCATCATATAAGAGAAGATGTTGGACAGTAATCAGGCTTTCATAGCATATAAGAGTAGATGTTGGATGCAGTAATCAGGCTTTCATGGCATATATGGGTAATTGTTGGACACAGTAATCAGGCTTTCATAGCATATAAGAGTAGATGTTGGACACAGTAATCAGGCTTTCATAGCATATATGGGTAGATGTTGGACAGTAATCAGGCTTTCATAGCATATATGGGTAGATGTTGGACAGTAATCAGGCTTTCATAGCATATATGGGTAGATGTTGAATGCAGTAATCAGGCTTTCATAGCATATATGGGTAGATGTTGGATGCAGTAATCAAGCTTTCATAGCATATATGGGTAGATGTTGGATGCAGTAATCAGGCTTTCATAGCATATAAGAGTAGATGTTGGATGCAGTAATCAGGCTTTCATAGCATATGTGGGTAGATGTTGGACACAGTAATCAGGCTTTCATAGCATATATGGGTAGATGTTGGACACAGTAATCAGGCTTTCATAGCATATAAGAGTAGATGTTGGATGCAGTAATCAGGCTTTCATAGCATATAAGAGTAGATGTTGGATGCAGTAATCAGGCTTTCATAGCATATATGGGTAGATGTTGGACACAGTAATCAGGCTTTCATAGCATATATGGGTAATTGTTGGACAGTAATCAGGCTTTCATAGCATATATGGGTAGACGTTGGACAGTAATCAGGCTTTCATAGCATATATGGGTAGATGTTGGATGCAGTAATCAATCTGAAGGTTCCAAATGAAGTTACAAATACACACTTCAAACGCATCTCAATGCCTCAGGCTGTTTAGTCTGAAGTGTGCAAATGTAATACCTTTATGAAGTTAGCTTTCACAGTGAACTCAAAGGAAGAGACGAGAAGATTGGCAGGACTGTTCATCCCCACTTAGTTCAGCCTAGCATGAGCTAGCTTGTCGAATGACTGATTCTAAACATATTGTGAATCACCAGCTCAATAAACAACACATCCTCACACACTGATATCAACCGATAGACACAGGTCTCAAAATCTAAACCTGCCAAATGATCATAGAGAATGTGTAATTTATAGTAGATATTGCAGTTCATATCAATTATTCATGATGATGACTTGAGATGAAGTGTCTATCATTCCAAGGATCACTGTTACTCTCCTTCATGTCCCTGGGGGCAGTTGGGCCCGGAGACTTACACTGGTAACATTGGTAACTGGGTATATTAACCCTTGTTTAGATCTGACATCTTGTAGTGGGGGAATCTTACAGGATAGTTTCAGGAATGGTAACCTACTAGAATACTTCTTTCCTCTTTTTGGGGAAAAAAAGAAGAAGAAGAATTGAAATAAATAACTTTCGTGTTTGTGCTAACATTAATGGGATATGTGACTGTAAATACTGATATGTGATAAGTCTGCAAGCTGGAGAACACTCCAAATAGTCACCTTGAATTGAAATGTGACATGACCTCTGACCTCTTACCTCCAACACACTGACACTCTAGTTGGCCATTAATCGTTGGTCATTGGTATTTAAAGAGCAATTATCATTGAAAAAGTTATTGTGATTTTGTTGTTGAAATCAAGTTTCTGAGATACATTAAGAAAAAACAACACAAAACATGTGTAAAGAGTATCTAAATGTCCATGTGAAAGTACTGAAATCTTAGACAGTTCATAACATCACTTGTACTTGTAATTGTATGATGACATTTCCGTTAATGATGGTGAGCTTACATTCGGTTTTTATAACATCACATCCAGTTTTTAATATCACTTGAACTTGTATGGACACTTCTGTTAAAGATGGTGATCTTCCATTCTGTTGTCATTACATCACATCAAGGTCATAACCTCACTTCCTGTTGACATAGTGCTCTGACATTACCCTGGAGGCATCCAGGCCTGCTTGTTCATATCGTAGCAATACTTCCATAGGTCCATTACTTTTCTGACCATAAATATAAACTCATTCCCTAGCCAGGAATAGGACAATCAAAGACAGAACTACCTGTCCCCCAATCACATACACTTTGTGCATAAAAATATATATAAATCAAAACCATTAATCTGTATGCTGAATCAAATGTAAACAACTAACTTGAGCAGCTAGTAAGACCATTTCATGACTTCTTTCAAAGTATGGTGCAATTGGCTATACAATCAATCACAGAGTGTGTCCTCAAGTCTGATTGAAATCAGAACAACACATTAATGTAATGTTAAGTAAACAATACATCAATGCAAGTTTTTCAAAGCATATTTGCTAACGTTTTATCAGAACTAAATTTTGGCTGTCCATGAGGAACTGAAGTTGACCTTTTCACTTGTCAGGTGATCTTACAGAATGTGTAAAGCAAGTTGGATCAACATCTGATCCTACAACTAAAATAGTATCTATTGCTGGCACTTACACACAGAACACAGCTGCCAGGGTAACACACAAGGAAACTTGGAGAATTAACAACAACGATTATAATTCTTATAATACTACCTCTTACACGTCATTGATTTTTGCTGAAACTTTGTTCAGAATCAACAGGTTTAGCTTGAATAAAATCTTTAAAGACCATGTTTTTTGTGTTTCTTCCGAGGGATCATCCAAGCACTATCCACAGGAGTTATCTCCCTAACAGAAGTGCTGATACTAAATATGAGGTTTGCATGTTTTCGTTACGGGAGATAACTCCTGCAGATAGCAACTGAAATGAAAACTGAAAACACAAAAAACATTCTCTTCAAGGTAAAAATGTGGATTCAGAAACAAGTTTCCGGAAAAAGACAATGAAGTGTTAGATGGACATATTCATAAAAATTAGCTCCACCCTGTACAGTAGAGAGTGGCATCTACTCCTAGCTGCACCCTGTACAGTAGAGAGTGGTGTCTACTACTAGCTGCACCCTATACAGTAGAGAGTGGTGTCTACACCTAACTCCACCCTGTACAGTCGAGAGTGGTGTCTACACCTAACTCCACCCTGTACAGTAGAGAGTGGTGTCTACACCTAGCTATACCCTGTACAGTAGAGAGTGGTGTCTATACCTAACTCCACCCTGTACAGTAGAGAGTGGTGTCTACACCTAGCTATACCCTGTACAGTAGAGAGTGGTGTCTACACCTAGATACACCCGGTACAGTAGAGTGGTGTCTACACCTAGCTGCACCCTGTACAGTGGAGAGTGGTGTCTACACCTAGCTGCACCCTGTACAGTAGAGAGTGGTGTCTACACCTAGATACACCCTGTACAGTAGAGAGTGGTGTCTACACCTAGATACACCATGTACAGTAGAGAGTGGTGTCTACACCTAGCTGCACCCTGTACAGTAGAGAGTGGTGTCTACACCTAGCTACACCCTGTACAGTAGAGAGTGGTGTCTACACCTAGCTACACCCTGTACAGTAGAGAGTGGTGTCTACACCTAGATACACCCTGTACAGTGGAGAGTGGTGTCTACTCCTAGCTGCACCCTGTACAGTAGAGAGTGGTGTCTACACTTAGATACACCCTGTACAGTAGAGTGGTGTCTACACCTAGCTACACCCTGTACAGTGGAGAGTGGTGTCTACACCTAGCTGCACCCTGTACAGTGGAGAGTGGTGTCTACTCCTAGCTGCACCCTGTACAGTAGAGAGTGGTGTCACCTAGCTGCACCCTGTACAGTGCTACACCCTGTACAGTGGAGTAGAGTGGTGTCTACACCTAGCTGCACCCTGTACAGTAGAGAGTGGTGTCTACACCTAGCTACACCCTGTACAGTGGAGAGTGGTGTCTACACCTAGCTACACCCTGTACAGTAGAGAGTGGTGTCTACACCTAGCTACACCCTGTACAGTAGAGACTGGTGTCTACACCTAGCTACACCCTGTACAGTAGAGAGTGGTGTCTACACCTAGCTACACCCTGTACAGTGGAGAGTGGTGTCTACACCTAGCTACACCCTGTACAGTGGAGAGTGGTGTCTACACCTAGCTGTACCCTGTACAGTGGAGAGTGGTGTCTACACTTAGATACACCCTATACAGTGGAGAGTGGTGTTTACACCTAGCTGTACCCTGTACAGTAGAGAGTGGTGTCTACACCTAGATACACCCGGTACAGTAGAGTGGTGTCTACACCTAGCTGCACCCTGTACAGTGGAGAGTGGTGTCTACACCTAGCTCCACCCTATACAGTAGAGAGTGGTGTCTACACCTAGCTGCACCCTGTACAGTAGAGAGTGGTGTCTACACCTAGATACACCCTGTACAGTAGAGTGGTGTCTACACCTAGCTGCACCCTGTACAGTCGAGAGTGGTGTCTACACCTAGCTCCACCCTATACAGTAGAGAGTGGTGTCTACACCTAGCTGCACCCTGTACACTGGAGGGTGGTGTCTACACCTAGCTGCACCTTGATGATATTCCTTCTAGAAACATTAATTGGTACCATGATGTTCTCCATATCTTCTATGATGTTCAGCTTTTCACGCTCAAACGTCAGTTCTTGTTCCACCTGCTTCACCTTATGTACATGCAGTTCATCCGTCAGGTCCAGAATGTGCTCCTGAAACAAAGCCAAGATATTGATGATGACTGCGACATTGTGACCTGTGTGAAGCTAGAGCCTGCCAGCTCAGCATATAGGCAGGCAGGGTTATAAACAATCACTGTGTGCTGTTTACATACAAACACTATGTGTATGAGTATCATGCTCCTAGCAAACATCCCAATTGTGAGTGTGTCCATGCAAATTGTGAACCATGACCTTAAAGTAAAAGAGATATCTTCACAAGTACATATTGATAGATCTATAATTGAAATTGCAGACTATATATATTCTTATAAAATTCTGCAGGAGTTCTTTTTCCATAAGTATACATACACAATTTAGTTTTAGACATGTTCATTAATAAACATACACATACAATTACAGGTCATTATCAACTGAGTTTTGATCCTGTAATCGATGTGCAGTACCATATGTGATATATATTCCTGATTGTATTGGTGTGCAGTACCATATCTGATATATATTCCTGATTGTATTGGTGTGCAGTACCATATCTGATATATATTCCTGATTGTATTGGTGTGCAGTACCATATGTGATATATATTCCTGATTGTATTGGTGTGCAGTACCATATCTGATATATATTCCTGATTGTATTGGTGTGCAGTACCATATCTGATATATATTCCTGATTGTATTGGTGTGCAGTACCATATCTGATATATATTCCTGATTGTATTGGTGTGCAGTACCATATACCATATCTGATATATATTCCTGATTGTATTGGTGTGCAGTACCATATCTGATATATATTCCTGATTGTATTGGTGTGCAGTACCATATCTGATATATATTCCTGATTGTATTGGTGTGCAGTACCATATCTGATATATATTCCTGATTGTATTGGTGTGCAGTACCATATCTGATATATATTCCTGATTGTATTGGTGTGCAGTACCATATCTGATATATATTCCTGATTGTATTGGTGTGCAGTACCATATCTGATATATATTCCTGATTGTATTGATCTGCAGTACCATATCTGATATATATTCCTGATTGTATTGGTGTGCAGTACCATATCTGATATATATTCCTGATTGTATTGGTGTGCAGTACCATATCTGATATATATTCCTGATTGTATTGGTGTGCAGTACCATATCTGATATATATTCCTGATTGTATTGGTGTGCAGTACCATATCTGATATATATTCCTGATTGTATTGGTGTGCAGTACCATATCTGATATATATTCCTGATTGTATTGGTGTGCAGTACCATATCTGATATATATTCCTGATTGTATTGGTGTGCAGTACCATATCTGATATATATTCCTGATTGTATTGATCTGTGCAGTACCACCATCTGATATATATTCCTGATTGTATTGGTGTGCAGTACCATATCTGATAAATATTCCTGATTGTATTGGTGTGCAGTACCATATCTGATATATATTCCTGATTGTATTGGTGTGCAGTACCATATCTGATATATATTCCTGATTGTATCGATCTGCAGTACCATATCTGATATATATTCCTGATTGTATTGGTGTGCAGTACCATATCTGATATATATTCCTGATTGTATTGGTGTGCAGTACCATATGTGATATATATTCCTGATTGTATCGATCTGCAGTACCATATCTGATATATATTCCTGATTGTATTGGTGTGCAGTACCATATCTGATATATATTCCTGATTGTATTGGTGTGCAGTACCATATGTGATATATATTCCTGATTGTATTGGTGTGCAGTACCATATGTGATATATATTCCTGATTGTATCGATCTGCAGTACCATATGTGATATATATTCCTGATTGTATTGGTGTGCAGTACCATATGTGATATATATTCCTGATTGTATTGGTGTGCAGTACCATATGTGATATATATTCCTGATTGTATTGGTGTGCATTACCATATGTGATATATATTCCTGATTGTATTGGTGTGCAGTACCATATCTGATATATATTCCTGATTGTATTGGTGTGCAGTACCATATCTGATATATATTCCTGATTGTATTGGTGTGCAGTACCATATCTGATATATATTCCTGATTGTATTGGTGTGCAGTACCATATCTGATATATATTCCTGATTGTATCGATCTGTAGTACCATATCTGATATATATTCCTGATTGTATTGGTGTGCAGTACCATATGTGATATATATTCCTGATTGTATCGATCTGCAGTACCATATCTGATATATATTCCTGATTGTATTGGTGTGCAGTACCATATCTGATATATATTCCTGATTGTATTGGTGTGCAGTACCATATCTGATATATATTCCTGATTGTATCGATCTGCAGTACCATATCTGATATATATTCCTGATTGTATTGGTGTGCAGTACCATATCTGATATATATTCCTGATTGTATTGGTGTGCAGTACCATATCTGATATATATTCCTGATTGTATTGGTGTGCAGTACCATATCTGATATATATTCCTGACTGTATTGGTGTGCAGTACCATATCTGATATATATTCCTGATTGTATTGGTGTGCAGTACCATATCTGATATATATTCCTGATTGTATTGATCTGCAGTACCATATGTGATATATATTCCTGATTGTATTGGTGTGCAGTACCATATCTGATATATATTCCTGATTGTATTGGTGTGCAGTACCATATCTGATGTATATTCCTGATTGTATTGGTGTGCAGTACCATATCTGATATATATTCCTGATTGTATTGGTGTGCAGTACCATATCTGATATATATTCCTGATTGTATTGGTGTGCATTACCATATCTGATATATATTCCTGATTGTATTGGTGTGCATTACCATATCCGATATATATTCCTGATTGTATTGGTGTGCAGTACCATATCTGACATATATTTCTTATTGTATTGGTGTGCAGTAGCATATCTGATATATATTCCTGATTTTATAGGTGTGCAGTACCATATCTGATATATATTCCTGATTGTATTGGTGTGCATTAAACTCAAAAGCCACACAGTGTTTGTGCAGTTGCATTGCAGCTGTGACGCTCACCTGGGGCAAGAAAGTTGACCTCACCTACATCAGCGGTCAACAACAAGAAGAAACATTTCTCTCATCACTACCATGACACAGTGATTTCTCCTTATATTATCTTAATAGTTTGTGGAAATTACAAATTCCTTTACAGATGTGACAATGGACAACACTGTCCTCAAGCAGAGCTTTGTATGAAGTATGAAATGAAGGAGTGGTGCACACTACTTGTATGAAGTACATAAGGCCCCCTTTTTTATTAACTTGGAATATGGACCCAGCGACCCTAAATTTTGGAAAACTGCACACACACACACACACACACACAAAATGGAAATTGCCGATTTGTTTCCCACCAACTGGACAAATATTTGCTTATTATTCTGCAAACATGACTTGGGAGAAAAAATGGAATAAACAACGAGATATTTGTTTGCAATTTTTACCCCGTTTAGGAAATATTCACCGACATGGCATTTGCGATCGTTCTCGTTGGTGTGGTAAACAAACAAGAGTTACGTGCCTCTGACTACAGCACCCTCTAAGCGTCGTCTGCAAATGGCAGGTACGAAATACAATGGGAATCTGACAGATTTTGATCTTGATACACCTTTAACCTTGACAACACGCAGGCATGCATGCATGCACGATTCTATCCTTTTTTTTTCTTTCGAGCAAAATAGAATTTCAAGGAGCATGGGAGGGAACACTGTATGATTCTTTCGAAAGTTCTGAACATCAATGATACACTGCAACATTGCCAGGAGTATTTTCGCAGTTGTAAAAAGCTATTTTATTGGATAAATATTGGTTTCTAATCACGCTTTTTTGCCACAGTCTGCTATAAGGATCATTACTGGTCAAAATCATGCATGTGACCTAAGGCAGCCAATCATATTACAGCAATGGATTTAGACAAATGTTTTGGGTAAAATCATGCTATTCTGAACGTTTTAAGCAAACTATCACCACCTATACGTAAATTATGGAACTTAGAGGACGTATCATGCTAGGTTATAACCTGTGATAATAATGCTTTATTCAAATATTTTAGCATTAAACATATTAAGCATGAAGTCTGATGCGCCGAAAGCCGAGATGTCACTTGACTTACATAACATGATCGCAGAAAAAAAAGATGGAAATAGTAATTTATAATGTACGTTTTGACAACTTTTATGAGTACAGTTGTTGATTTTAATTCATGAGTTTATTCAATTTGTTCAATTTCCTCGAAACATCGTTTTACTACTTTGCTCATTGACATCTTTGATGTGGGCCCGTTGCCGAAGGATGTGTCTGAGAATCTTTTTAATTAAAAAAAAACATTGCGAAAAATAGTTTCTAATTCTAACTCTGTCGATAATATATGGTCATCTGAAATGTAATAAGTGTTTTCAGTCATTGTGAAAATTGACAGATTAAATAAATGAATCATTAGTCACAATTTTGAGGCCTGATATGTCAGAAACATTTTGCTTATTAGTGTTCCCTGCCTACTATATATTTTGATATGTCAGGTCGAAGCACCCTTTCCCCCCACCCACCCCAAAAAAACACACAACTGCAGTGATTTTTCCCCCCCTCCTCCGACTCTGCATTTCAGTTCAAAAAAAAAATCTGTAATCCAAGTTATTTAAAAAGGGTTGCCTAAAGGAAGGAGTGGTACACTCTACTTGTATGAAGTATATAAAGAAAAGAAAGGTAAACTCTACTTGTATGAAGTACATAAAGAAAGGAGTGGTACACTCTACTTGTATGAAGTACATAAAGAAAGGAGTGGTACACTCTACTTGTATGAAGTACATAACGGAAGGAGAGGTAAACTCTACTTGTATGAAGTATATAAAGGAAGGAAAGGTAAACTCTACTTGTATGAAGTACATAAAGGAAGGAAAGGTAGACTCTACTTGTATGAAGTACATAAAGAAAGGAGAGGTACAATCTACTTGTATGAAGTACACAAAGGAAGGAGTGGTGCTCTCTACTTGTATGAAGTACATAAAGAAAGGCGTGGTGCACTCTACTTGTATGAAGTACATAAAGGAAGGAACGGTGCACTCTACTTATATGAAGTACATAAAGGAAGGAGTGTTGCACTCTACTTGTATGAAGTACATAAAGGAAGGAGCGCTGCACTCTACTTGTATGGAGTATATAAAGGAAGGAGTGGTACACTTGTATGAAGTACATAAAGGAAGGAGTGGCACGCTCTACTTGTATGAATTTCATAAAGGAAGGAGTGGCACGCTCTACTTGTATGAAGTACATAAAGGAAGGAGTGGCATGCTCTAATTGTATGAAGTACATAAAGGAAGGTGTGGTACTCTCTACTTGTATGAAGTACATAAAGGAAGGTGTGGTACTCTCTACTTGTATGAAGTACATAAAAGAAGGAGTGGCATGCTCTACTTGTATGAAGTACATAAAGGAAGGAGTGGCACGCTCTACTTGTATGAAGTACAAAAGGAAGAAGTGGCACGCTCTACTTGTATGAAGTACATAAAGGAAGGATTGGCACGCTCTACTTGTATGAAGTACATAAAGGAAGGAGTGGCACGCTCTACTTGTATGAAGTACATAAAGGACGGAGCGGCACGCTCTACTTGTATGAAGTACATAAAGGAAGGAGTGTGATGCTCTTTTTGTATGAAGTACATAAAATAAGGAAAGGTAGACTCTACTTGTATGAAGTACATAAAGGAAGGAGTGGTACGCTCTACTTGTATGAAGTACATAAAGGAAGGAAAGGTAGACTACTTGTATGAAGTACATAAAGGAAGGATTGGCATGCTCTACTTGTATGAAGTACATAAAGAAAGGAGTGGTACACTCTACTTGTATGAAGTACATAACGGAAGGAGAGGTAAACTCTACTTGTATGAAGTACACAAAGGAAGGAGTGGTGCACTCTACTTGTATGAAGTACATTAAGAAAGGAGTGGTGCACTCTACTTGTATGAAGTACATAAAGGAAGGAGTGGTGCACTCTACTTGTATGAAGTATATAAAGGAAGGAGTGGTACACTTGTATGAAGTACATTAAGGAAGGAGTGGCACGCTCTACTTGTATGAATTTCATAAAGGAAGGAGTGGCACGCTCTACTTGTATGAAGTACATAAAGGAAGGATTGGCACGCTCTACTTGTATGAAGTACATAAAGGAAGGAGAGGTAAACTCTACTTGTATGAAGTATATAAAGGAAGGAAAGGTAGACTCTACTTGTATGAAGTACATAAAGAAAGGAGAGGTACACTCTACTTGTATGAAGTGCACAAAGGAAGGAGTGGTGCACTCTACCTGTATGAAGTACATAAAGAAAGGAGTGGTGCACTCTACTTGTATGAAGTACATAAAGGAAGGAGCGGTGCACTCTACTTGTATGAAGTACATAAAGGAAGGAGTGTTGCACTCTACTTGTATGAAGTACATAAAGGAAGGAGTGGTGCAGTCTACTTGTATGAAGTATATAAAGGAAGGAGTGGTACACTTGTATGAAGTACATAAAGGAAGGAGTGGCATGCTCTAATTGTATGAAGTACATAAAGGAAGGTGTGGTACTCTCTACTTGTGGTGGCACGCCTAGTATGAAGTACATAAAGGAAGGAGTGGCATGCTCTACTTGTATGAAGTACATAAAGGAAGGAGTGGCACGCTCTACTTGTATGAAGTACAAAAAGGAAGAAGTGGCACGCTCTACTTGTATGAAGTACATAAAGGAAGGATTGGTACGCTCTACTTGTATGAAGTACATAAAGGAAGGAGTGCTGGCTGGTACTCTCTACTTGTATGAAGTACATAAAGGAAGGAGTGGTACATAAAGGAAGGAAAGCTCTACTTGTATGAAGTACATAAAGGACGGAAAGGTAGACTCTACTTGTATGAAGTACATAAAGGAAGGAGTGGTACGCTCTACTTGTATGAAGTACATAAAGGAAGGAAAGGTAGACTCTACTTGTATGAAGTACATAAAGGAAGGAGTCGCACGCTCTACTTGTATGAAGTACATAAAGGAAGGAGTGGCACGCTCTACTTGTATGAAGTACATAAAGGAAGGTGTGGTACTCTCTACTTGTATGAAGTATATAAAAGAAGGCACGGTAGACTCTACTTGTATGAAGTAAATAAAGGAAGGAGTGGCACGCTCTACTTGTATGAAGTACATAAAGAAAGGAGCGGCACGCTCTACTTGTATGAAGTACATAAAGGAAGGAGTGGTGCACTCTACTTGTATGAAGTACATAAAGAAAGGAGTGGTGCACTCTACTTGTATGAAGTACATAAAGGAAGGAGTGGTGCACTCTACTTGTATGAAGTACATAAAGGAAGGAGTGTTGCACTCTACTTGTATGAAGTACATAAAGGAAGGAGTGGTGCACTCTACTTGTATGAAGTATATAAAGGAAGGAGCGGCACGCTCTACTTGTATGAAGTACATAAAGGAAGGAGCGGCACGCTCTACTTGTATGAAGTACATAAAGGAAGGAGTGGCACGCTCTACTTGTATGAAGTACATAAAGGAAGGAGCGGCACTCTCTACTTCTATGAAGTACATAAAGGAAGGTGTGGTACTCTCTACTTGTATGAAGTACATAAAGGAAGGTGTGGCACGCTCTACTTGTATGAAGTACATAAAGGAAGGAGAGGCACGCTCTACTTGTATGAAGTACATAAAGGAAGGAAAGGTAGACTCTACTTGTATGAAGTACATAAAGGAAGGTGTGGCACGCTCTACTTGTATGAAGTACATAAAGGAAGGAGTGGCACGCTCTACTTGTATGAAGTACATAAAGGAAGGAAAGGTAGACTCTACTTGTATGAAGTACATAAAGGGAGGTGTGGTACTCTCTACTTGTATGAAGTACATAAAGGAAGGAGTGGTACTCTCTACCTGTGACAGCAGGACTCACCTCCAGAGCATCTACAGTATTCTTGCTTTCAACTTCTTTGAAGGCTAACTCTGCAACACATACACAGGGTCAGTAAATTAAGACAATGAGAATAAATGAGTGAGTTTTTAGTGGAAGTTAGCAGGTAGCTACCTGTTTGAATGAAGCCCTTACTTCAAATGTATAATCAAGTGTATATTATACTGGGATATGCCCACTGACAAAATGGTGCAAGAGATGCACATTAATGTGAAACCTCTAGCACTGATGTGAACACCGTTTGGTTTGTGTGCAAAAGATGGATAAGAGTTAGATTTGAGTCCCACGCCATTAATACACCTCAAGTAATGGCATGCTTTGACCACCAACCAAGTTTTATCATGGACTGATTATCATTACATCAACTCCCAAGTTCACCACGACAAAATCTCACTTTTGGCAGTGGACAAATTCAAGACATTCAATCAAATTTTAAGTCCTTTCAAAGCCTAACAGAAATTAAAGTTCAAACACCAGACTGGTAAATTCAAGGCCTTTACAAGCATACGTGAACTCCGTTCAAACAGTAGAAGGTTTCACACAGAATACAATTTTTTTCACAAATGGCTTAATGACATTCTAACTGTGTAAGCTGTACCTTGTTTGGCAGCTGCTATGTCATCCAGTTCTTCATCTCTTTTAGCCAGCTCTACTAACAGGAACTTACGATCCATATCATTGGATGTGAGAGCTTGTCGGAACTCTTGCCGAAGCCGCTGCTCTCGCAGGATCCTGTCTCGCAGCTCCATACGCATCCACTTGAGCTTGCTCTACAACACAGAACACCCACCAGAAGGAATCAGAACCTGCACTAGGTATTTTACTTCAGCTTGCCCTATGACACAGAACACCCACCAGAAGGAATCAGAACCTGCACTAGGTATTTCACTTCAGCTTGCCCTATGACACAGAACACCCACCAGAAGGAATCAGAACCTGCACTAGGTATTTTACTTCAGCATGCCCTACAACACAGAACACCCACCAGGAGGAATCAGAACCTGCACTAGGTATTTCACTTCAGCTTGCCCAATGACACAGAACACCCACCAGAAGGAATCAGAACCTGCACTATGTATTTTACTTCAGCATGCCCTACAACACAGAACACCCACCAGAAGGAATCAGAACCTGCACTATGTATTTCACTTCAGCTTGCCCTATGACACAGAACACCCACCAGGAGGAATCAGAACCTGCACTAGGTATTTTACTTCAGTTTGCCCAATGACACAGAACACCCACCAGAAGGAATCAGAACCTGCACTAGGTATTTTACTTCAGTTTGCCCAATGACACAGAACACCCACCAGAAGGAATCAGAACCTGCACTAGGTATTTCACTTCAGTTTGCCCTATGACACAGAACACCCACCAGAAGGAATCAGAACCTGCACTAGGTATTTTACTTCAGTTTGCCCTACAACACAGAACACCCACAAGAAGGAATCAGAACCTGCACTAGGTATTTCACTTCAGTTTGCCCTATGACACAGAACACCCACCAGAAGGAATCAGAACCTGCACTAGGTATTTTACTTCAGCTTGCCCTATGACACAGAACACCCACCAGAAGGAATCAGAACCTGCACTAGGTATTTCACTTCAGCTTGCCCTATGACACAGAACACCTACCAGAAGGAATCAGAACCTGCACTAGGTATTTCACTTCAGCTTGCCCTATGACACAGAACACCCACCAGAAGGACTAGGTATTTCACTTCAGTTTGCCCTACAACACAGAACACCCACAAGAAGGAATCAGAACCTGCACTAGGTATTTTACTTCAGCTTGCCCAATGACACAGAACACCCACCAGAAGGAATCAGAACCTGCACTAGGTATTTAACTTCAGTTTGCCCTATGACGTTGTTGATATATACTTATTGTTAAAAAGGAACTGTGCTTACATAACATTCAGTAAAAGAACATATATTCCAAAATTAAACAATGCATCTTTCATATTCAAGAAACCATCTCCTTGACAATATATGTTTAGTTATCAGGTGTTCATGAAACACAATGTCACAGCTTGCACCATGCTAACAGGAATGGCTCATAACAAAAAGTTGCCAGACGATTTAATGTTCATTGAAACAGAACATCATCTTATGAGAAATTTTAATCTACACCAGGGCAACACTCATGAAATGTCACAAGATGGTCATCCCTATGATATATATTTATCAAAATATGACCAGAAAAGGGTATTTATAACTTCTTGCCCCATCTTATTATTTTCAGCATTATTTTATGGAGATGGATGAGCTGTACTGTATTCACTGTAGTCCTGTGATTGACTGACAGTGCTGGTCATGGTGACAGTAAGTATCACATGCTTGGCCACGTAAGTCATACATCATCATGTTCAGACACACGTCAGGTTCAACACTTTGAAACAACAATCCATCATTCCTGTTATTCTGGCCAAACAGTGAATGTGACATATCAAAGTAACAGGTCCCATCCAGTGTTTGCAATACTTAAATTTGCCAGTTGGCCATCAAGGCCTGCTACCATCTGCAGGCTTTAAAATCTACAGGCCCTGATTGAAATCTGCGGCCAATTTTGGTAAAGTCAAACCAAACAAAAAAAAACAACATCAACTACACTGTACACCGTTTCACACTGTTTCTACAAAATCAATTAGCGAAGCCTATGGCGTTTTTATTTGTTAAAGACGGGTGTTGACATTCCTATGCGCAAAGTGCTGAAATACCAGGAAATGAAACTGTAAGTTATTGTAACATGATGGATCGTGGATGATTCCCGAATGTTAATAAAGAAAATCATATGGGAAAGATTCCAGTTGAAAAGAAACCCTGACAGATAATTTACCAGAGGCCACAAGGGCCCGATACAATAACAACTGGCGCTGGACCTCCGGGCCGGCCATTATTTCTACACTCGATGTCTACACTCAGTCCAACATCACTGTCTTGAGTCAGTCAAACATCACTGTCTACATTCAGTCCAACATCACTGTCTTGACTCAGTCCAACATCACTGTCTATACTCAGTCCAACATCACTGTCTATACTCAGTCCAACATCACTGTCTATACTCAGTCCAACATCACTGTCTATACTCAGTCCAACATATCTGTCTATACTCAGTCCAACATCACTGTCTATACTCAGTCCAACATCACTGTCTATACTCAGTCCGATATCAGTGTCTACATTCAGTTCAACATCACTGTCTATACTCAGGCCAACATCACTGTCTATTCTCAGTCCAACATCACTGTCTATACTCAGTCCAACATCACTGTCTACACTCAGTCCAACATCACTGTCTATACTCAGTCCAACATCACTGTCTATACTCAGTCTGACATCACTGTCTATACACAGTCCGATATCAGTGTCTACATTCAGTTCAACATCACTGTCTATACTCAGGCCAACATCTCTGTCTATACTCAGTCTGACATCAGTGTCTACACTCAGTCCAACATCACTGTCTATACTCAGTCCGATATCAGTGTCTACATTCAGTTCAACATCACTGTCTATACTCAGGCCAACATCACTGTCTATTCTCAGTCCAACATCACTGTCTATACTCAGTCCAACATCACTGTCTACACTCAGTCCAACATCACTGTCTATACTCAGTCCAACATCACTGTCTATACTCAGTCCAACATCACTGTCTACACTCAGTCCAACATCACTGTCTATACTCAGTCCAACATCACTGTCTATACTCAGTCCAACATATCTGTCTATACTCAGTCCAACATCACTGTCTATACTCAGTCTGACATCACTGTCTATACACAGTCCGATATCAGTGTCTACATTCAGTTCAACATCACTGTCTATACTCAGGCCAACATCTCTGTCTATACTCAGTCTGACATCAGTGTCTACACTCAGTCCAACATCACTGTTTATACTCAGTCCGATATCAGTGTCTACATTCAGTTCAACATCACTGTCTATACTCAGGCCAACATCTCTGTCTATACTCAGTCCAACATCACTGGCTATACTCATTCCAACATCACTGTCTACACTCATTCCAACATCACTGTCTATACTCAGTCCAACATCGCTGTCTACACTCTCAGTCCAACATCGCTGTCTACACTCAGTCCAACATCACTGTCTACATTCAGTTGAACATCATTGTTTACATGTGCGGGGGGATATAGTCGACGCCTCGACCGTCTGTATCCATAATCATTTTGTTTCCGGAGCATAACTCAAAAGCCGTTCAGTATCTTTCTTCAATACTTAGCAGATATATCAAAGAGCACCTAAAGTGAGGCCTTTTGTTATTTATCGATTTTGGTCATTTTATTTTTCTCAATTTTGGACAAAAGGGAGGGGTAGCAAAACTAAATCATCAGAAGATGACAAATCCCCCAGCTTGTACATTATTTCAAAGCCTTTCTCTTTCAATCAGTTCAGCCAAACATTTTTGATTTGACAACCAGAACTGCATTGACATGGCAGTCTTCACATACCTTCATCTCTGTGACTAGGTACATGATAGTCTTGGCTCCTTTCATCAAACCATTGATGGGCTGAAAGAACAAAAACTTCATGTGAAAATTATTTCCTCAAAAAATGTAAAAAGACACAATGTGACTCACACTCACTTCATATCCAGACACTCACCTGGTATTTGGACACTGCCTCCATGTCCAGACACTCACCTGGTATTTGGACACTGCCTCCATGTCCAGACACTCACCTGGCATTTGGACACTGTCTCCATGTCCAGACACTCACCTGGTATTTGGACACTGCCTCCATGTCCAGACACTCACCTGGTATTTGGACACTGCCTCCAAGTCCAGACACTCACCTGGTATTTGGACACTGTCTCCATGTCCAGACACTCACCTGGTATTTGGACACTGTCCCCATTTCCAGACACTCACCTGGTATTTGGACACTGCCTCCATGTCCAGACCCTCACCTGGTATTTGGACACTGTCTCCATTTCCAGACACTCACCTGGTATTTGGACACTGACTCCATGTCCAGACACTCACCTGGTATTTGGACACTGCCTCCAAGTCCAGACACTCACCTGGTATTTGGACACTGTCTCCATGTCCAGACACTCATCTGGTATTTGGACACTGACTCCATGTCCAGACACTCACCTGGTATTTGGACACTGCCTCCATGTCCAGACCCTCACCTGGTATTTGGACACTGTCTCCATTTCCAGACACTCACCTGGTATTTGGACACTGCCTCCTAGTCCAAACACTCACCTGGTATTTGGACAATGTCTCCATATCCAGAGACTCACCTGGTATTTGGACACTGCCTCCATATCCAGACACTCACCTGGTTTTTTGGACACTGCCTCCTAGTCCAGACATTCACCTGGTATTTGGACACTGCCTCCATATCCAGACACTCACCTGGTATTTGGACACTGCATCCAGTTTCCCTGCCTCCAACACTGCCTGCACTTCCAGTGCCATCTCCTGGACGATATGCTGAAGACAAAACATCTCCTTCTAGAAAGGTATCAAAGCAGTCTAACTCAACTAACCATTTGAATGACAGGTTAACAGGGAAGTGTATACTCAAATGATATTATATGAAACAAAATGATATTTTAGATTTAGTTAACATCAACATACGAAAATATACACTCATTTTTCTCACATTGAAAGTAGAATGCTCAATACTAGTGTTGATGTGCTATTATGAGGCCTTTGTTTTCTGAGCTAAACAGGCCAGTTACCCTTTGAAGATTATGACGTAATTAGTGCCAATTTAGACTGGTCTCCTGTCTAGTCCCAATGCAAAATATATCCATGGTGAAAGAAATTGCATGAAGAAACATGTAAAAGATTTGCAAAACTTGTATTAGAATTAAAACTGTAAGCAGCAGAATACATTGTAATTCATAACCCTTTTAAGGAAAATATCAAATATGTACAACATATAACATATATGTATGACATATAACCTCACTACTTCAAAACACTGGTGTGTTCACTGACATGAGGACGCAGGATCTTACAAGGTGGTTGCCCTCAACTAAAAAACCACAGTATTCTTAGAGGAAGACCGATTGTTTCCTATTGGCCTTGTGACTTCATGGTCTTAAAACCAAGACTGGGCATGGACCGTGGTCTCTTGATGCAACTGGTGATTCTCAGCAACAAAGTTCCACATTACCCCCACATGTACAATCCTGTCAACCTCCTGCATAAAATGTTAAATACATGCTCTTTACTAAGGCTGTCAGTTAATAAATATCCAGTTTTCATTGCCAAATGCATGGGAGCTTCCTCTAGTGGCTTGGTGGTTAAATGTCTGTAAAACCACACACAGATCTCAGTAACTTTTAAGTATGAGTACCACTTCTTCTCCTCAAGGTGAAACTGGAGTTTGGCTACTTATACCCCTTTTGGGGCTCATAGAGATTGGAGGACCGCCTCCGTGGTGTAGTGGTTAGAGCGTCCGCCCGGAGAGCAGAAGGTCGCGGGTTCGATCCCCGACCGCGTCATACCAAAAGACGTTAAAATATGGTACTTGTTGGTCCCTGCCTGGTTTTTCGCCATTAATGGGTACAACATGGACTGGTCTGCTCGGAGTTAGTATACTGTGTCTGAGTGGGGTATTCATGCTTCACTGCGGCATGGTATCTCAGTGGGCTAGCACTATAAAACCAGCTTCAGTCTGGGCTAGTACAAGCAGTCGCACGTACACATACACACGGATGCACGTCGTCATATGAGTGAAATATTCTCAAGCACGACGTTAAACCCAATTTCACCTCACCTCACCTCACCTCACCTCATAGAGATTGGATAACGTCACTTCAGTGAAGAAAAAAATAATGCTGTTCAAAATTTTTCAATAACTCATATCATCAAAAAGCACCAGTTCACCACTAAAATGGCCTGCAAGTTTCATCCAGAAATAATCAGCGCCGTAATCAGCAAGAAGCGAGAAAGTTAAGTCCACCTTGTTGCAAAACAAATAATTCACTTTTTAGCTGGATACAAGAAGCACCCAGAGAAAGTTAAGTCCACCTTGTTGCAAAACAAATAAAGACTGAGTGAGTGAGTGAGTTGGGTTTTACACTGCTTTTAGCAATATTCCAGCAATATCATGGCAAGGGACACCAGAAATGGGCTTCAGACATTGTACCTATGTGGGGGAAACGAACCCGGGGCTTGTGCGTATCGAGCGAACACTTTAATCACTAGGCTACCTCATGCGTGTCGGCGAACACTTTAATCACTAGGCTACCTTACCGCCCGCAAAACAAATAGACTGACTGACTGAAATAATCAGCGCGTTTGGAATTCACTTCTGGATACAAGAAGCACCCAAAGAAAGTTAAGTCCACCTTGTTGCAAAACAAATAAAGACTGAGTGAGTGAGTTAGTTTGGTTTTACACCGCTTTTAGCAATATTCCAGCAACATCACGGTGGGGAACACCAGAAATGGGCTTCACACATTGTACCCATGTGGGGATTCGAACCCGGGTCTTCGGCATGACGAAACAAATAGAGGCACAACGGTATATAGTCACTTTCCAAGAAAGGATTACACAAATAATGTATACAAATTATATAATAACAAATTTTGAATGCAAGGTTGAACAATAACAAATTCAGCTTTGCAAACATGTAAGTTGAAGTTCAATTGGAAGGAAACTGAAGGTTCAAGTGAAGGCAACTCTAGAGAGTGAGCTTCTGAAGAATGCCCCCTGGTGGAGAATAACATTTTGGCTTCTATGTCATGGGATGAAAGAAAAAAGGACTATGTTAATGTTTTCTCAGGATAAAAAACATATTTTAATGCCTGAAACAAATCTGATACCAGTTATGGAGCAAGATATCCTCATACAGTTTTTGATAATCCTTTCCTGAGAAGACAGATAGATAAAGGACAGTGCACCAGGGTCCTCAACCTGTTCTGTGTGCATCCACATGTTTGATGCAGTCAGTGTGCACCAGTTGTATCAGTATGTATAGCTGTGGAATATATAGCAAGATAACTTACTGCCTGTTGGTCCTCCAGTCTTTTCAGTTCTGCTTGTGCTGCCACCAGCTGCTCATCTAGACGCCGTACTCTGCAGCAAACACGGACTCCATTTCCACAAACATACAAAGTGAGCGAGTGAATGTTGTTTAAGCCACAAGTGTTTATCCCCGCTATATCACAGTGGCCTGGCAAACTATGGGGTTTATCCCCGCTATATCACAGTGGCCTGGCAAACTAGGGGTTTATCCCAGCTATATCACAGTGGCCTGGCAAACTAGGGGTTTATCCCAGCTATATCACAGTGGCCTGGCAAACTAGGGGTTGAAAGCATGAGAAACAATATATATAAATGAAGAAAAGGACCAACAATCAGCCAAATCATACATTGTGATCCATTCCCCATTAGTCATCTCTAAAGTGTATACCAACTGACTGTCCAGCAGGTGATGTGTGTCTCCACATATAAAACACCTACCTGCTTACGTCATCCTCAGCCAGATGGGTCTGAAACATACAACATCTGTGTCAGCATATATCACATGGATTCATCACACAATCCATGCTACGGATAGCATATACTCTGAACTAGCTTGTTTTTGTAAAATGCTTCATAGAGTGTTTTCAAAGCTCAGTTATCACAACTGACTTCTACCGTTGTAAATGAGAAGAAAAGGTCAACTCTAAGAAGTCCAAAACCAGTGATAAAAGTAGAGAGACAACACTGACAGTGACGGATCTAGAGTGCTCCCTTGTCCCCATTGTGCAGTGTTACTTGATATTGTGTAGTCTGAATGTCTCTCTCATTGTAACAGTGAGATGCAGCAGCAGTAAATCTTTCCTGCCATAATTTGCTATTTTGTTTGTCAGTGTTCTTCATCTGAGTGTCCTGGTCATCTGGTACTCTGTGCAGAGTGGTGCCAAGATCAAGCCAAGAAAAGAAGGCCTGAACTGACAAGGCTTTCATATAGGATGGATGATAGTTGCCTAGGGAAGATGACAATTATTATCCGTAACAACTCTCTGAATATGACACTATGTACAGAAACACTGCTTGACCCATGATAAAAGCATTTGCCTGTGCATATTCAAGAGGTGTGGACAAGTGTAGGGCTGACTGACACACCACATCAGGCATTGCCGTGTCTCCAGTCAGGGCAGCAGAGATGTAAGAATGAAACCATTACAAACAAATCAAACAGGCATAAACTGGATCAGTTGGTGAAACATGGAAACATGGTGTATAGCATTGTACTGAGTGAGTGAAGTTCTAGTCCTAAAGGCAGACACTGAGATATTTACATAGTTTTGTGTTAGAGATGGTACTGAAAAGGAATCCAATCCAAAGGATGCCTTGAAGAGGGGAATCAAAGGTGAAGGGTTAGTGGATATAGGTAGCACAATCTTTCACATGTTACAACAGGACTTCAGAGGCAGTACTTTTAAGAGCATGATACAGTGAACATCAGCCACTCTGGAAAGGTACTCAATCTAGTATGACATGAGTTCTAGATTTAAGCACACAATAAACTACATGATACACTGCTAAGCATGTTCTACACAGAAAGCAAGCAAAAAATAATTGTGGATCACCCAACTGTCGTTTAACTAATGAACCAGTTATAGAGCATATACTTCCACTCCCTAAAACATATTACAATATAACAACTTACATGAGTTTCAAATTCCTGTTTTACAAGGTCCAGTCTGTGAATGAGTCTGGCATTATCCTCCTCATACCTGTAACATTTGGGTCTGGGCATATTCATCAGATATCACTATATCATTCAGTATAATATTCTCTTTCTCTGTGAAACACAAAAATATCTGTCCACACATGAAAAATTGAAATATTCCCACATGAGTGCATTATAGTTTACTTCACTTATCATTCAAAATAAGCCATATGACATTCACACATTACTTTCAGCAATATTGAAATCATTAATATTTTATTACGTAATGTTCCTGAAATAGTCACAAATAAATGTTAGAGCTGAATACATTTACCAACTTTCAAATGATCATGGTTAGGTAATGTCTGCCAACACAGCAACATATTCTCTGATTTATTGTTCACCAGTAACCTTGAGCTTACTTTGTGAGCTGTGCTGCAAGTCTGTCAACCTCCTGTTTCCATTTGTCTTCATTTCGCTTGGCAATCTTACAGGCAGACTTCTCCTCTGATAGCTCCAACTGTCAAATAACCATGTATGACACCCTCAATATCTCCAACTGTTAAACACCATGTATGACCCCCTCGATATCTCCAACTGTTAAACACCATTTATAACACCCTCAATATCTCCAACTGTTAAACACCATGTAAGACACCCTCAATATCTCCAACTGTCAAACACCATGTATAACAGCCTCAATATCTCCAACTGTTAAACACCATGTATAACACCCTCAATATCTCCAACTGTTAAACACTATGTATAACACCCTCAATATCTCCAACTATTAAACACCATGTATAACATCTTTAATATCTCCAACTGTTAAACACCATGCATAATACCTTTAATATTTCCAACTGTCAAACACCATGAATAACACCCATTAAACACCATGTATAACACCCTTAATATCTCCAACTGTTAAACACCATGTTTAACACCTGTTAAACACCATGTATAACACCTTTAATACCTCCAAATGTTTAACACCATGCATAACAAATTAAACACCATGTATAACACCCTCAATATCTCCAACTATTAAACACCATGTATAACACCTTTAATACCTCCAAATGTTTAACACCATGCATAACAAATTAAACACCATGTATAACACCCTCAATATCTCCAACTGTTAAACACCATGTTTAACACCTGTTAAACACCATGTATAACACCTTTAATACCTCCAAATGTTTAACACCATGCATAACAAATTAAACACCATGTATAACACCCTCAATATCTCCAACTATTAAACACCATGTATAACACCTTTAATACCTCCAAATGTTTAACACCATGCATAACAAATTAAACACCATGTATAACACCCTCAATATCTCCAACTATTAAACACCATGTATAAAACCTTTAATACCTCCAAATGTTAAACACCATGCATAACACCCTCAATATCTCCAACTATTAAACACCATGTATAACATCCTTAATATCTCCAACTGTCAAACACCATGTATAACACCCTCAATATCTCCAACTATTAAACACCATGTATAACATCCATTATATCTCCAACTGTCAAACACCATGTATAAAACCCTCAATATCTCCAACTGTTAAACACTACGTATAACACCCTCAATATCTCCAGCTCCTTAACACCATGTATAACACCCTCAATATCTCCAACTGTTAAACACTAAGTATAACACCCTCAATATCTCCAACTATTAAACACCATGTATAACATCCTTAATATCTCCAACTGTTAAACACCATGTATAACACCCATTAAACACCATGTATAACACCTTTAATACCTCCAACTATTAAACACCATGTATAACACCCTCAATATCTCCAACTGTTAAACGGGCCGGTTGGGTAGCCTAGTGGTTAAAGCGTTGGCTTGTCACGCCTAAGACCCAGGTCCGAATCCCCACATGGGTACAATGTGTGAAGCCCATTTCTGGTGTTCCCTGCCGTGATATTGCTGGAATATTGCTAAAAGCGGCGTAAAACCAAACTCAGTCAGTTAGTCAGTCCAACTGTTAAACACCATGAATAACACCTTTAATATCTCCAACTGACACTTAATATCTCCAACTGTTAAACACCATGTTTAACACACATTAAACACCATGTATAACACCTTTAATACCTCCAAATGTTTAACACCATGTATAACACCTTTAATATCTCCAACTATCAAACACCATGAAAATACCTTTAATACCTCCAAATGTTTAACACCATGTATAACACCCTTAACATCTCCAACTATCAAACACCATGTATAACACCTTTAATACCTCCAAATGTTTAACACCATGCATAACAAATTAAACACCATGTATAACACCCTCAAGATCTCCAACTATTAAACACCATGTATAACATCCTTAATATCTCCAACTGTTAAACACCATGCATAACACCCTCAAGATCTCCAACTATTAAACACCATGTATAACATCCTTAATATATTCAACTGTTAAACACCATGTATAACACCTTTAATATCTCCATCTATTAAACACCATGAATAACACCCTCAATATCTCCAACTGTCAAACACCATGTAAAACACCCTCAATATCTCCAACTGTTAAACACTATGTACAACACCCTCAATATCTCCAACTGTTAAACACTATGTACAACACCCTCAATATCTCCAACTATTAAACACCATGTATAACACCTTTAATATCTCCAACTATTAAACACCATGTATAACACCTTTAATATCTCCAACTGTTAAACACCATGTATAACACCCATTAAACACCATGTATAACACCCTTAATATCTCCAACTGTTAAACACCATGTATAACACCCATTGAACACCATGTATAACATCCTTAATATCTCCAACTGTTAAACACCATGTATAACACCCATTAAACACCATGTATAACACCTTTAATATCTCCAACTATTAAACACCATGTATAACACCCTTAATATCTCCAACTGTTAAACACCATGTATAACACCCATTAAACACCATGTATAACACCTTTAATATCTCCAACTGTTAAACACCATGTATAACACCCATTAAACACCATGTATAACATCCTTAATATCTCCAACTGATAAACCATTAATAACCTACAGCACCATGTATAAGACATGCTGACTGGGCAGAACACATGAGAGGAATATCTATCTCAGTTTACAATGGACATTATAATGTTCAAGACTGGTTATAAAGAATTATGTAATTTTTAGAGTAAAATTGATATTTTATACTTATCCTGACTCATGCTCTTTTGCTTGTCTTCTTCTTGCGAACATAGTGGAACACTTGTATCTCCTTAATTGAAGCTCCCTTCAATGTAAAATCACTAATTAGTACTCACCAAGAGTTGCCTCCCTTTGCCCCTGCGCAGGAAAGGCGGCGCCACCTTCTGGCCTCATGCTTCACTCTCTCCTGATATAGCGAGCCCAACACTTGAATTTACAGGGAAATCCAAAGTGTTATGTGGGGAGGATGGGAGGGCTTACCTCATGAGTCAGGATAAGTATAAAATATCAATTTTACTCTAAAAATTACATATTTTTCCTTATCCTGACTCATGCTCTTTTGCTTGTAGAATCCTACAGAAACGGAGGTGGGAAAGAACAGAATACTTTGGATTTATAAAATTAATTAGTGATTTATATATATATAACTGTAATAACCCCCTTACGGGAACTTTATAATGGCACTGACTTAGGATAATTCCTGCTACTATAAACCATAAGTTTATACACTGCCATAGATGGGGTATTACAATAATAATATACTATGATAATAGCAATAAAGGTATAAAAAGCGACTCCAACATGGAGAAGCTACCCAACTGTACATAACCATCAGTACTGGGCTTAAGGCTGAGTAGACTTAAGCTAAGCATATAAATAGCCCTAAAACTCCGTAGAGTTATAAGCTAGATAATACTGGTATGAAATATACATAATAATCTCGTAAGACTATGTGTTAACGTCTACGAGGGACTGTCAACTGCTGTGCGAGGACCATGGGACCGAAATGGTGAATACCTGAGACGTCCTCGGTGGTGATATCTCTCAGATAGTGATTAGCAAACACCATGTCGGATTTCCAAAAGCAGCCTTCCATGATGGTATTTAATGAACAGTTACCATGTAGAGCGAGTGTGGAAGCCAATGCCCTGATCTCATGGGGATTAGATGCTCTTGGAGGGTCGAGTCCTGCAGCCTTGTAGGCGCGAAGTATGACAGTTCTTATCCATATAGATATGGTGGTACGAGAGACTTTTGTCTGAGTTGTTGCCGATAAAGGGATGAATAATCGCTTTGAGAAGTCGCCGCCTTGTTTTGGAACGTCAGAGATAGATTTTGAGAGCTCTGACTGGGCATAGAGATAAGTCCAGTGTATCTTGAGATCCGAGAATCGAGGAGAGTGCAGGAATATGGAATAATCTGTCTGGTTGACCTGGCAATTGATTTTGGCGATGAAATCCCATCTTAGTCCCAAGTGCACTGTGTTTTGATTGTCATCAAACTGTATCCTCTCATAATCTAGTGCGTGAATTTCTGACATCCTGGTTGCCGTCGCTAGAGATAACAGGAACAAGGTTTTCTGTGAGAGAAATTCAAAGGTTGTCGATTCCAACGGTTCATAAGCCTCACTTGTGAGGTGTTGGAGCACTATATTAAGATCCCAAGCTGGGCGTGGAACTTCCGCTTCTGATCTTCCAATCGAAAGCACGTAGTAAGGCCAGTAACTCTGGCGCCTTGGTTAGCTTGACACCCGCTCTCATAGTTATCACAGAACTAAGCGCGGCAAGATATGTTGACAGTGTCGAGCCTTTTAAATGTTTGTGTTGGCGTAGGTAACACAAATAATCAGCCACTTGTGGACGTGTAGCATTTCTCGCTGTAAATGCCTTTTTAGCTGCGTAATTTTCGAAACTGTGCCACTTGTCGACGTACTAGTTACGCGTAGAATAGCCGCAAAGCGTGACTGCTTTTGCCGCTCTGGTTGAATAACCTCTCTTGTTTAAACACATTTTAATACAGTCCATACGTGAAGTTGGAATACTTCTGGGTTTCCGTGCACCTGTTTGGTGTGTGGATGTACTAATAGATTCGAGCGCTTTGGTAGCTCTAGTATTGGTTGTCCGATTTCTTGAATTAGAATGGGAAACCACGTTCTGGCTGGCCAGTAGGGCGCGACCAAAGTGAGTTGGAGGCTCTGTGTTTGTCTGATTTTCTGTAACACTTGAGGAATTATCGCTGGTGGCGGAAACGCGTACGCATTGAGGCCTTCCCAGGATATGCTTAGAGCGTCTGTTGCCCACGCTCGTGGATCCGGGACTGGTGATACGAATGTCGTTAGCTGATTGTTGAAGCGAGTGGCGAATAGATCTACTAGCTGAGCTCCTATTTGCTTGATAATCTGTGCAAAAATTTCTGTATGGAGCATCCATTCTGTCGGTGACGGTAGATGTGGCCGAGAGTGTGCGTCTGCTAGTACATTCTTGGCTCCGGGAATGTGACATGCTCTGATATGTAAGTTGAGATCGCCGATTAGATCGAACAGTTGAAAGCATAAAGTCAATAGGTTCAGTGATCTCGCTGAGCCTTGTTTGTTCACATAAAACGCCACTGTCGAAGTTGTCGGTATGAATCATCAGATGCCTTTGCAGAATGGTGCTCCAATGAAGTATGGCGCTGATTACCGCTTTCATCTCTAACATGTTTATATGGAGCTTGCTTTCTCGCTGATTCCATAACCCTGAAGCCAGTCCGGTTGGCGAGATGAGCTCCCCAACCTTGAGCCTGCACGCTGCCTACATATAGATGGGTTTTGAATTCGCTCTGTTAAACAAATGCCTTAGCAGACATTCGACCTCCTGGTCCACCATAGTAGATGAGGTCTGAGGTGTTTCGGTAGACTGAATGGTTGTAGGTCGTCGAGATGTGCATTGATGAAGACCTGTAACGGACGTAACTGTAGTCTGCCTCTGACTGTCATGTCTTGGGCTGACGTGAGGAGACCCAACAGGCTCTGCCAATGTCGTAGTGGTAACGGAGAGAGTAGGGCTAGAGGAATGGTCTGTTGGATCTTGAGCCATCGGTCTTCTGGAACGACGATACGGTTGAGAGTCGTGATAAATCGAATGCCTAGAAATTGCAGATCTTGCGATGGTACTAGGTCCGACTTGAGTAAATTTACTAACCATCCTAGCTGTGTTAGTAGCTTGATGATGTAGTTTAACTGTAGTTTGAGACACTGTGGATCTTGATCTACTTGTATCCCGTCGTCAAGGTAAAACGCACTGCGTAGCCCTAGACGATGTAGGTAGGTGACGATAGGTTTCGTTACTCTTGTGAATAACCAGGGGGCCAATGATATTCCGAATGGGAGTACTTCCCATTGGTAATGCAGCCCGTCTAGTGTAAATCGTAGGTATTTCCTGGATTCGGGATGTATCGGGATGTATCGGGATGTGTAGATACGCGTCTTGCAGATCTATACTGGCCATGTAATCCATGGGACGAATTAACTGCCGTAATTGAGGTAGATGTATCATGCGAAACATTGGTGGTTTGCGTAGATAATCTCTGTTGAATGTGCTCATGTTGTAAATGAGTCTGTATTTCTCCTTGGAGTTTTTCTTGGGTACTAGGAAAACTGGGGAGTAGAAGCCTGGTTCGACGTTTACTTGATCTAGTACTTCTATGGCCTGCTTGGTTAGGAGAGAAGTAACAGCCTCTCTTAACTTTGGTAGTTGTTGTGCCTGGAAGTCGAACTTGTGAGGGTTGACTGTCAGCGGAGGCGTGGCCTGTAGTTGGATACGATATCCGTTGAAGAATGTTGGAGACATATGGGTCTTGTAACATTCCCCAGTTCTCCCAGTGCAGTTGAAGGCGTCCACCCACTTGTGACGGTTGTACTGGAACGGCTGGGGGTGGAAGACTCCAGTCGTTCCGAACCTGTCTTTCATCGTTTATAGTTGCAGGAACCTCTGGGTGCCCTGCCTCTTCCTGATCCTCCTCTGTAGTTGCCATATGGGCGACGAAAAGAATCTTTTCCCCTGAAGCTGGCCATCTTCCTATCCCGTGCTCTCTGTAATCCAGTGAATTTAGATTTCTCTGAATATCTTTGTGAAGTCTGCCTGATGACGCTGGCTAGCGTGTCCATCGACTTTATCATATGGACTTCTCTAGAATCCTTAGTGACTTCCTTTGGAGACTTTCTCTATTCCTCCGTCAAAGATGGATGGTGAGGACCACGGGCTGTATAGAGTGGAGCTGTAAACTGCTCACCCCAGCTGCAGGAAGCGAGGAGGCCTTGACGACGCGCTAAGGTTAGCGCTGCTGAGACTGATGTGAGATGATCCGTTAGGAACTGCTGGTCCTTCTTCTGCATAAGTAGGGCCGAGTAGATCATTCTATCATCTTCAAAAGTCGTGTCACGAAATCTGGTGATAAGAGTCTCATTGATCGTTCTAGATCTATTAAGGCCAAAGAACATACGCCTTGTCATGGTTTCTATCTGAACCAGCTTGGCGATCGCCAATCTTATAGTTCTTATTCTTGACATCGTTGATCACTTTGTAATTATCATCGATGTCTTGTGCCTTGAGGAAGGGGTCCATATTATGGGTTGAAAACTTCTTAGCGTGAAAGTGCGGTAAGTGTGGCGTTTGAACTTTCGTGGCTTTATGGAAGGCTGTGTCCAAATTCTGTGGCACCGCAGCAATCGGGTCGATCGGAGGTAAGGTGATGGTGTCTGCATCGTCTTCCTTCATCAGGTAGGTATGCGCCGAGTTACCACTCTTGGAAGGTGAAGAAAGGTCTAGGTTGTTAACCATCCAATAACGTATCTCAGCGTCTGAGAAAATGATGCCTCCATCATCTTCTACCCCAGGATCGCTGATGAGAGGTTGATGCTCTTCTGATGGTGGGCTATGTGCTTCTACCACTGTACAGGGTGACGTTAAAGGAGACCTGACTGGGGACTTCCGTGGAGACTTGTGTGGTGACCTGCGAGGAGATCGACGTGGTGATCTACGAGGAGATCGGCGAGGTGAACGGCGAGGTGATCGGCATGGTGGATGGCGAGGGATCGCCTTGGTGAACGCGGCCTGACGAAGCTGCGCCTAAAGGTTGACCTTCAAAGATCTGTGAGGTGAATGTTGATAGCTTCAAGCTCTTGTGGAATCCCTCGATGTCCTTCTGGACGAAGATGATTTAGAGCCTGTTAATGGTGCCTTCGGCGAACCTTCGCGAAGCTTCCTCTGCGTCCGGTCCTGGGGAGCGACGACTTGACCTTCGTGAAGGCTTTCGTTAAGTCTGGTGGTCCGAGTCCGAATCTAAGGATGAAGCCGAGGTAGGTGATGATCTATAAAGCCTTCGCGCAGGCTGTACATCTGGGTCCTTCGTCAAGGTGGTCTGTGACTTCCTTCGCGAAGGTGGCTTCGTCGTGGCCGCTACGTTGACGGGGGGTCCCTCTGGGATGTCGTCTACGTTGGAGCCTTCGCTAAGGCTCAGGTCCTGGGCTGGTTGTCTCTCCAGTCTGTAATGGTCCTCCATCATCTTCATGATTTGCCGCATCAGGTCGTCTGGGACGGTCTGTGACGATGTAGTCGGTTCTTGAAGACTTCGTAGACTTTCCCTTGGAGGTAGACGCTGCCCTGGGGCTACGGAGTCTGCGTTGAGTAGATGTCGAGGCCCTCTTAGACTTTGGCTGCGATGACGGGATGTCTGGGGAAGCAGGACGCTTCTTGGAGACGGCGGACTGCATCCCACACCCCTCCTCCGAGGGAAACTCTAGCGGAACACCAGACGGGAGGGGGTCGTCCGACAGCAGCTGACTGGCTGGGGGTTCCGATGTATCGGCCATGTCTAAACCTTGTTTGCGTGACCTATCTGCTGGACGTCTCAAGACGCAAAGATGATATTTATTAAAAGCAGAATTAGATAGATTAATACAGTAACTGCAACGTGAAGCAAACGCACAAGGCGTAGTACAGCTAGGGCATATTAAATGCGGGTCAGCAGCAGAAAAACGTAATGTACAAATAGTACAGATTTTCATCAACGTAAACTAGCTGAACAATCACGAAATCCCGTGAATAAACAGTAGAAATACGAAAAATTATCAATACATATTAATGAAGGATACTAGCTACACCTCTATAGTAAACTATAAGAGGTAACTAACTAAGAATAACCAAAGGATATAGTGTGTCAGGAGACACAGGCGCTCTCACATCCTGCTCACTGGGCGAAGAAGGAGAGAGTGAAGCATGAGGCCAGAAGGTGGCGCAGCCTTTCCCGCGCATGGGGCAAAGGGAGGCAACTCTTGGTGAGTACTAATTAGTGATTTTACATTGAAGGGAGCTTCAATTAAGGAGATAGAAGTGTTCCACTATGTTCGCAAGAAGAAGAAGACAAGCAAAAGTGCATGAGTCAGGATAAGGAAAAATAAAAGGTTATCCTGTGCAGTGGTTTTGACATTATTGGCCTCCTTACAACTGATGGATGTACACATCCCTTCAATTACAGTGGGATGACTGACATGCCCTGCTCACCTTGAGTGCTTGAATTGTGGCCTCATATTCTACATGATCCCGCTTGAACCGCCGTGACACTTCATGCATAGTATGTGCTTCTCTCACCTACAGGAGAACCACAGGATTAAGACACACACAGACCTCACACCGTATAAACTGTGGCTAAACTCTGAACATTCATCATTGGAGAAAGAAATAAACTGCAATGTGAGTGCTTATATTAGCTTACCTTGGCTTCATTAAGCTCAATCTTGATGGACTCCATCCCATGCTGATGGCCTGATCTCTCCTACAACCAAAAGGTGTACTCCTTAGTCATTTAGTCACAGTCTGGTGAAAAAGGGTTTTCAGTAGTGATGTGAATAGAAAGCATTCTCCTTTCCAAAAGACTAAAGTTATATATTACTGTTTCTTAGTGAATAACTTTTGAACATTTAGGTAGCTAGTTACAGACTTTACAGATGGAGTGTTGGACAGGGATCAAAGATAGGATGTTTGGTCTGAGAAGGGAGGTGGGGCAGGGCTTTGAGAATGGAGGCTCATCAGGGGTCTGGGAGGGAGGTTGGACTGGTGTCTGCGAAAGGGAGGCTTATCAGGGGTCTGGGAGGGAGGTTGGACTGGGCTCTGAGAAGGGAGGCTCATCAGGGGTCTGGGAGGGAGGTTGGACTGGGCTCTGAGAAGGGAGGCTCATCAGGGGTCTGGGAGGGAGGTTGGACTGGGCTCTGAGAAGGGAGGCTCATCAGGGGTCTGGGAGGGAGGTTGGACTGGGCTCTGAGAAGGGAGGCTCATCAGGTGTCTGGGACGGAGGTTGGACTGGGGTGTGAGAAGGGAGGCTCATCAGGGGTCTGGGAGGGAGGTTGGACTGGGGTGTGAGAAGGGAGGTTCATCAGGGTCTGGGAGGGAGGTTGGACTGGGGTGTGAGAAGGGAGGCTCATCAGGGGTCTGGGAGGGAGGTTGGACTGGGGTGTGAGAAGGGAGGCTCATCAGGGGTCTGGGAGGGAGGTTGGACTGGTGTCTGAGAAGGGAGGCTCATCAGGGGTCTGGGAGGGAGGTTGGACTGGGGTGTGAGAAGGGAGGCTCATCAGGGGTCTGGGAGGGAGGTTGGACTGGGGTGTGAGAAGGGAGGCTCATCAGGGGTCTGGGAGGGAGGTTGGACTGGGGTGTGAGAAGGGAGGCTCATCAGGGGTCTGGGAGGGAGGTTGGACTGGTATCTGAGAAGGGAGGCTCATCAGGGGTCTGGGAGGGAGGTTGGACTGGTGTCTGCGAAAGGGAGGCTTATCAGGGGTCTGGGAGGGAGGTTGGACTAGGCTCTGAGAAGGGAGGCTCATCAGGGGTCTGGGAGGGAGGTTGGACTGGGCTCTGAGAAGGGAGGCTCATCAGGGGTCTGGGAGGGAGGTTGGACTGGGCTCTGAGAAGGGAGGCTCATCAGGTGTCTGGGACGGAGGTTGGACTGGGGTGTGAGAAGGGAGGCTCATCAGGGGTCTGGGAGGGAGGTTGGACTGGGGTGTGAGAAGGGAGGCTCATCAGGGGTCTGGGAGGGAGGTTGGACTGGGGTGTGAGAAGGGAGGCTCATCAGGGGTCTGGGAGAGAGGTTGGACTGGGGTGTGAGAAGGGAGGCTCATCAGGGGTCTGGGAGGGAAGTTGGACTGGGGTGTGAGAAGGGAAGCTCATCAAGGGTCTGGGAGGGAGGTTGGACTGGGGTGTGAGAAGGGAGGCTCATCAGGGGTCTGGGAGGGAGGTTGGACTGGGGTGTGAGAAGGGAGATCAAGACAGTGTGTCCTACCTGAAAGAGCTGCCTTTTGTATAGCTCAGCCTCATCCTTGGCAGCCTTCTCTCGGTGCTGCAGCTCAACCAACTTCTGCTTCAAGTCCTGTAAACAACAACACTTCCATATATACAGAAACAATTACAAAATACATGTCACATGTCTTGTCCTGTGTAAGTTAGAGGATGGTGTTTGCTATGTGAGGACAGGAATTTTGAGAGACAGCAGCAGCATGGTCAAACAGTAAAGGTCAAAGAAAGGTCAAACGTTACAATATTATAATACCAGAATCTATGTGTTGAGCTCCACTACTATCTAGACATACACAAAATAACATTACATAGCTAGGTTATGTGTTGTGATACACAAACAGGACACAACAGAAGCTCACTTGATTTCTCAGTTGAGCTAAAAAGATGCAAATAGTGGTATCTTTATAAAATAAAAAATGCTCGGCCTCAGGTAAAGGAATACTTTTAATATGTGTAAGGGTAACATTATTATGCTAGTGTTGATATCTGCTATATATAATTGTCAAACTCCTCTTGCCTAGAATGAAGAAGTAGGATCTGGGCCCCTGATGGCATGTTTATCCCAACCATCAACTGTATCCAGATGGCACAGGATTATGTGAGTTCAACTGTAACTAGAAACCAGGAGTTCCCCAGACAGGTGTACTTACATGGACTTTAGCTGTAGATTGAGCATTCTGCCCTGCAAGGTCAGCCTTCACAGTACTCAGCTCCTTCAGCTCCATCTGGAAGACACACACTTCCCTAGTCAGTACCCAATACAAAGGAGTTGAGTTGCACACCTCATGTCAGTATCTGATACAAAGCTCTGTCACGTTCTCTCCTGTTTCAACACCTGATACAAAGGACAGGCACCCTCTCCCTTGTCCCAGTGCCCACAACAAAGAATATTAGTCACACTGCAAAGTGTAGAGGTGAACAAAACCCAAACATGTCAGTCATATGCCCCAGAGTAGCAGTATATAACAGAAAGAATATCAGACACATGCCTTAGTGTAGCAGTACTCAATACAAGAAACACCAGTCACATGGGCTAGAGTAGCAGTACTCAATACAAGGAACACCAGTCACGCTACCCTGTGTGACAGTACCCAACACAAGGAACACCAGTCATGCTACCCTGTGTGACAGTACCCAATACAAGGAACACCAGTCACGCTACCCTGTGTGACAGTACCCAACACAAGGAACACCAGTCACACTACCCTGTGTGACAGTACCCAACACAAGGAACACCAGTCATGCTACCCTTTGTGACAGTACCCAATACAAGGAACACCAGTCACGCTACCCTGTGTAACAGTACCCAACACAAGGAACACCAGTCACGCTACCCTGTGTGACAGTACCTAACACAAGGAACACCAGTCATGCTACCCTGTGTGACAGTACCCAACACAAGGAACACCAGTCATGCTACCCTGTGTGACAGTACCCAACACAAGGAACACCAGTCATGCTACCCTGTGTGACAGTACCCAATACAAGGAACACCAGTCACGCTACCCTGTGTAACAGTACCCAACACAAGGGACACCAGTCACGCTACCTACCCTGTGTGACAGTACCCAACACAAGGAACACCAGTCATGCTACCCTGTGTGACAGTACCCAACACAAGGAACACCAGTCATGCTACCCTGTGTGACAGTACCCAACACAAGGAACACCAGTCATGCTACCCTGTGTGACAGTACCCAATACAAGGAACACCAGTCACGTTACCCTGTGTAACAGTACCCAACACAAGGAACACCAGTCACGCTACCCTGTGTGACAGTACCCAACACAAGGAACACCAGTCATGCTACCCTGTGTGACAGTACCCAATACAAGGAACACCAGTCACGCTACCCTGTGTAACAGTACCCAATAGAAAGGTTTGTTTGTTTGTTGTGTTATACAGCACTCAGCAATATTCCAGCTATATGGTGGCGGTCTGAAAATAATCGATCTGGAACAGACAATCCAATGATCAACAGTATGAACATCAATCTACACAAATGAGATACGATGACATGTGTCAACCAAGTCATTGAGCCTGACCACCCGATCCTATTAGTCACCTCTTATGATGAACATGGGTTGCTGAAGACCCAATTCTAACCCGGATCTTCACGAGTCTTAAACAAAGGAGGTCTGTAACATGTACATTCATCTGGTGATAATGACCTTTGACCTGCAAGAATTGCCAAATGAATTCCCCAGGGACATGTGTAAAAAATGTAATTTTCTGACTAAAATTGATATTTGCTATTATGCTTGTCTCCTTCCTCTTGCGAATGATAGTGGAACACTTGAAATTCCTTGAAGTTCCCTTCTAAAAAAGTGGACATAAAATCACTCACCCACGACTAGCGTCCCTTTCCTCCCTCAGGCGCCCAAATGGTCACATGATCGGCCATATTTGTCACTCTCTCCGTATGTAAGCCCGACAGCCCGATTTACAGGGAAATCCAGAGTGCCATAAGAGGGGAGGTTGGGAGGGCTCACGTCATGAGTCATGATGAGTATAAAATAGCAATTTTAGTCAGAAAATTACATATTTCTCCTTATCCTGACTCATGCTAATTATGCTTGCAGAATCCGTTTGAAACGGTGGTGGGTCAAGCCACGTTCTGGATTCACTGGTTGTAGAGTTACGTCCTTGGGAACTTATGACGGCACTGTTGAAGATTCTTTCAACTTCTCTCTGATGAGTCTGGGGGGACCACAACTTGTCAGATTTCTTCGGAAACTTCTCTTGACATTTTCGTGTGGATTTGCGCGCAGGTTGATGAAGGTCCAAGTTGGAAGATCGTATCTGCGCAGTCTGTAGGTGAGGTGAGGTGAAATTGGGTTTAACGTCGTGCTTGAGAATATTTCGCTCATATGACAACGTGCATGCGTGTGTATGTGTATGTGTGGCTGCTTGTACTAGCCCAGACTGAAGCTGGTTTTATAGTGCTAGCTCACTGAGATACCATGCCGCAGTGAAGCATGAATACCCCACTCAGACACATTATACTGACTCCGAGCCGACCAGTCCTTGTTGTACCCATTAATGGCGAGCGCCAGGCAGGGACCAACAAGTACCATATTTTAACGTCTTTTGGTATGACGCGGTCGGGGATCGAACCCGCGACCTTCCGCTCTACGGGCGGACACTCTAACCGCGCAGTCTGTAGAATCCTGGAGAACGACTGGATTTACTTCTGTGTTAGAATGCTTCCTGCTGAGATGCTGAAACTGCGTGGAGGCTCTATCGTGGACTGCTAACACTAAGCTGGCGTTCGTTGAATCCTCCAGGTTTCTAACTGCTGATACTGATGACAGTAAAGATCTTCGCGAACGTAACCGTTCGTGCAGGCCTTCATCCGAGAGCTTGTATAGCTAATATTTCTTCACGCAGGGCGACTGTCATCGGAGGGGTCTGCTATGCTGAGCTGACATTAGTAGAGTTCTCCAGACTTCTAACTTCAGACGGTGAAGTTGGACATTTCTCTATCTGAAGATCCATAATGACGCGAGTCTCTGTATGTAGAGCTGTGTGCAGGTGAACGGTCCCGGTGTGACCGTGTATTCCTCCTAGAGTCTGGAGCTATCTCTCTAAGCCTTTACAAAGGCTGATAGACGTAATCTCCCCTCTCTCTATGAGATGATCTCTATGAAGAGCTTCGCGCAGGCGATCGATCCCGATGCGATCTTGAATCCTTCCTGGAGTTTTGAGATAATTCTCTAGGCCTACGCGAAGGGGGGTTCCTAGACGTAGCTTCCCCTCTGTAGGAGTGCCTTCGCGCAGGCTCTCGATGGGCGTCATATCTGCGACGTCTGTAGGGTTCGGGAGAACGTCTCGATTCCTTCCTGCATGGAGACTTCTTAGCAGCAATCTCTCGAGTGTCTACGTTGGTAGCGGAGTCCAGACTCCTCACTTCAGATGGGGAAGATCGTCGTGTCCGAGAGCCTTCGCGCAGGCTTCCCTCTTCATCCAGATGTGGTGGGGAGACTGTAGAGCCTTCACGCAGGCTAGTAGTCGTTGTAGAGGTCTTCATAGCAGCCTTCTCCTGAGCGAAAGCGACGTTCCATCATCAACATCATCTGGTCTGTAAACTGTTGCATGGTCAGTCCCGGGTTGAAGTTCTGCATTGTCTGAAGAGACTGCTGCAGGGATGATGCATCTGATACTGAAGAGACGTCATCTAAGGCTCGCTGCACTCGTGAAGAGTTGACGCTGCTGCTATCTCTGGTACCCGATGTCTGCGTTGATAGAAGGTCTTCTGTCAATGTCTGCGCTGATAACAATGCCAATGTAGCTGTAGAAGCAGGCTTCGTCTTCTTACGGACTTCAGGTATGAGGATGGGTGGATCATCATAAACATCTGCTTCTTCCCGGAGGAACAATCTCGGCTGAGAAAGATCTCGTCTTCTGTGTAGAGCTGATCTTAGACTTCGCTGAAGTCTTCATCGTAGTAGCCTTCTTCTTCTGCGAAGATGAAGATTTAGCCTTCTTCATCTGCGATGAGGTCAGCTCAGTAGACAATGATCTCTTATGGCCTCCGGCATTCACCACTGGTACATCCACCTGCTCCCGAGAAACGTTCTGCAATTCACTGGAATTATGAATATCTGCAGCAGTGGTTAACACACGGTTATCAGCGCAATCACTCGATTTAGACATGACTTGTGAATACCTACGTACCCAGTCCTTAGCATGTCTATCGATGGAAGAAAGCTCATAATCAAATTCAACCAAAGTTAACTTTACACAAGACTTACAGCGAGAGCTGAAAGAACATGAAACAGTGCAATTAGGACATAATAAATGAGGGTCAGACGCAGACACTCGGTACCTACAACGAATACAAGTTTTCATCAAATGTAAACATGAAGAAAACACATGTCAAACAACGGAAAATTTAAATCAAATTTCCAACCGTAATGTAGAATATAATCCTAAAAAACGTATACAGCAATAAGTTTGATGTAAGGTCCGAAAATATAAAAGGATATGTGCCGTATAGGGACCCAGGTGCTCTCAGAGAGTGACAAATATGGCCAATCATGTGACCATTTGGGTGCCAAAGGGAGGAAAGGGATGCTACTCCTGGTTGAGTGATTTTACGTCCGCCTTTTTAGAAGGGAACTTCAAGGGATTTCAAGTGTTCCACTATCATTCGCAAGAGGAAGGAGACAAGCATAATTAGCATGAGTCAGGATAAGGAAAAATAATAAAAAATCTTGTGCCACCAATGTCTGCAAACTTTTTCAAATATTTCCTGTTGACAGTGAAATTTCTTATCTGCTGTATAGAAGAACTATATTTAAGCTGCCCATATTGATAGTTGAGTGAAGAAGCTAACTGGTAGGTATTACAAGGTACCTGTAGTGGATTCTACTGCGTCATCTTCACAAGTGTAGAGTGTCTATAGACACACAACTGGAACCTACCTGGAGCTGATTGGCCTGATCCTGGGCAAGGAGATGAGCTGCTTCTACAGCTGACAATTTATCCTCCAATCGATGCCGGTCTGATGAAACATCTGCTGACCTTGACCTCAGGGAATGCAGCTCATTTTCCATCTGACCACAACAACATTGTGATAACATGCTATTTGATAAAATCCTGCTATACAACAGGCAAATAGTGGTGGTATATATTTATCAGTGTGTAAGAGAAATATATATTTAAAAGCACTCCTTTCTGATACTGATACAGCAACATTTGGAAGATATGACAAAGAAAAGTATTATTAACAAATTCAGCAATATAATTTTTGGACAAAAAGGTAAAGAACAAGGGCTTCGTGTAACAGAGAGATTTGTGAAATAAAAAGACGGAAAGACATCGAGAAAACCGGACATACCCTGTCGGCAACTGTGCGCAGATCTCGTAGCTCCTTCTCAAGATCAATGCGTAGAGACTTCAGCTCGTTCACTTCAATGTCCTTGAGACGAATCTGCTCATCCTGTGCTGCCCTCACAGCCTGAAAATACTTTCAGCATTACAGGCCACCACAACCCTCATTTTGCTTTCTGCATTATATATGGAAACTTGTAGTTTAACTGGGCTTGTGACTTTTATGGTCTCGTGAAGTAGGGTAGATCAGGTTCAAAGCTTACCAAGGCGTCTCCAAGCTCCCTTTTGAGACTCTCCAAGTGTATGACTGTGTTGCTGGACTGATGCCTACTCCCCTCCATGTCCTTCACCAGCTGCTCATTGCGCTGCATCATCTGCTTCCACGCATGCTTCTGTCGGTCCAGGTCACGCTCCAGCTGCTTCACCTTCATCTTCCATCTGCAGTTAAGGAACAGTTCAAGGATATAGGACCTCTTCGGCAAGACTAGCTTGATATACAGTGCAATCAATTAGCGCTGTATGGAGTCTGTGTCTATCCTATTGTATGCTGATATGCTGACTTGAAAGCATTTTACTCACCATGTCTTCAGCATGATAACCTCTTACTCTGGTGTGCTGGACAACATTAACACAACAGTGCCTTCCAGACCTAACACTCACTGTCTGTGTCCTGGGCATCATGGACACAAGAGTGCCTGCCAGACCTAACACTCACTGTCTGTGTCCTGGGCATCATGGACACAAGAGTGCCTGCCAGACCTAACACTCACTGTCTGTGTCCTGGACATCATGAACACAATAGTTCCTGCCAGACCTAACACTCACTGTCTGTGTCCTGGCCATCATGAACACAATAGTGCCTGCCAGACCTAACACTCACTGTCTGTGTGCTGGACAACATTAACACAACAGTGCCTTCCAGACCTAACACTCACTGTCTGTGTCCAAGACATCACGAACACAATAGTGCCTGCCAGACCTAACACTCACTGTCTGTGTCCTGGACATCATGAACACAAGAGTGCCTGCCATACCTAACACTCACTGTCTGTGTCCTGGACATCATGAACACAATAGTGCCTGCCAGACCTAACACTCACTGTCTGTGTCCTGGACATCATGAACACAATAGTGCCTGCCAGACCTAACACTCACTGTCTGTGTCCTGGACATCATGAACACAATAGTGCCTGCCAGACCTAACACTCACTGTCTGTGTCCTGGACATCATGAACACAATAGTGCCTGCTAGACCTAACACTCACTGTCTGTGTCCAAGACATCATGAACACAATAGTGCCTGCCAGACCTAACACTCACTGTCTGTGTCCTGGACATCATTAACACAATGTATAGTGCCTCATAGAACAAACTTTATGGATAACGACTTCTTTATTTCATGAGTGTGACGTTTCGATACATATTCTTGACAACGGTACAAGAATCTGTATCGAAACGTTACATTCACGAAATAAAGAATTTGTTATCCATAAAGTTTGTTCTATATTGTACTTCCCAACTTCTAAAATGACACTCAAACAAACAATAAAGCCGGCCTAACCTAACACTCACTGTCTGACTGTGTCCTGGACATGTAAACCTTACCAGTGCCTGCCGAGTGAATACTCACTGTCTGACTGTGTCTTGGGCATGTAAAACTTAGCAGTGCCTGCCTGAGTAAATAAATACTCACTGTCTGACTGTGTCCTGGGCATGGAAACCTTACCAGTGCCTGCCTGAGTGAATACTCACTGTCTGACTGTGTCCTGGGCATGTAAACCTAAGCAGTGCCTGCCTGAGTGAATACTCACTGTCTGACTGTGTCCTGGGCATGTAAACCTTAGCTGTGCCTGCCTGAGTGAATACTCACTGTCTGAATGTGTCCTGGGCATGTAAACCTTAGCAGTGACTGTCTGAGTGAATACTCACTGTCTGACTGTGTCCTGGGCATGTAAACCTTACCAGTGCCTGTCTGAGTGAATACTCACTGTCTGACTGTCTCCTGGGCATGTAAACCTTAGCAGTGCCTGCCTGAGTGAATACTCACTGTCTGACTGTGTCCTGGGCATGTAAACCTTACCAGTGCCTGCCTGATTGAATACTCACTGTCTGACTGTCTCCTGGGCATGTAAACCTTAGCAGTGACTGTCTGAGTGAATACTCACTGTCTGACTGTGTCCTGGGCATGTAAACCTTAGCAGTGCCTGTCTGAGTGAATACTCACTGTCTGACTGTGTCCTGGGCCCGTGTCTTGAACTCATCCTTCTTCTTCTCACTTTCATGGAGTGAGAGTTGAGTGTTCTTCAGCTCATTTGATGTCTTTTCCAGCTCTCGTGAGGTGTCCCGGAGTCTCTGCACAACATCCTCCAGTTGGGTATTTATCAGCAGCCGGTGTCTCTCGGTGTCATCAAGGCGATCTCCTGTTGCCTTTAACTCAGTGATCAGCTTGGCATTCTGCTTTTCCCGGTTCTCTAGATCCTTTGTCAATGTCTGCAATTGTATCAGGTATATGACAAAACTGACTCCAAGCTGGATTTTACTTTGACAACATTTCAAATCCTGTTTAGTCAAATCTTCAAATTAGGATCTCCCATTACTAGTCATGCCAGAATGAACTTTCATCCAACAAATCAGAGTGCTGCTTATATTCAAAAGTGAAACTCAGAACATCATTTCTAGTCATGCAACCTAAAAAAACAGGCATTCCAAAAGGCAGTAATGGGCAGTATCTGTCTTTCACTTCAATAGAATATACATCTGAAATGGAAGAGCTTTCAATGGTCTGTAGGAAGTACTGTCATACTGTCATGCAATCTTGACCATCAATGAGACTAAATCTATGAGAATGTTATGAGTTCAGGCTTCTGACTTTGTACCAACTCATGTGAACTTCCTAGTCGATCGAAGTTTGTGAAAAGGTCGTTCTGACTTTATCACTAATGGGTAGTAATCACAAAGATCAGATTTTAATGACACATAATTTGTTTGTTTGTAGGTATAATCTGACTTCTTAGTTGGCTTCCCTTGCAGAGATACTCGAGTAGAACTAGTCATCAATACTGATAACAAACGTTGCGAAAACCCAAACCCTAGATGATGAGCAGAGCTTACTTCAATGTGGTCGGACAGTTGTGCTCTCTGCCCGCTCACTCTTCTCCACAGCTCGTCTCAGTTCATCCACCTCTGTGATGGCTCCAACTGACCTGGCAAGTTCTCCCCTCAACTCATGAATCTCTCTTTCCACACCTCGTCTACCATCCTCTTCATCCACTGAAAACAACAGGTGCAAATACAGTTGAAGGAAATGTTACATTAATTCTATCAGGTTTTCATCTCCTTTCAGTGCCAATGTAACAACTTGGACAGTTTAGTGCCCAGGTATTGAGATACAGATAACTTGACTCACTAGCTCTCCGTTTCCTCTTATCTCTCATTTCATCCTCCAGACGAGCTTCCTCCATCTTCATCTTGAAGTGAGTTCGCTCCTGGTCAGCCCTCATTAGCTGTGACCTCAGCTCTTCCACCTAAACAGACAGGATGACACCAAATCTCACTTCACAATAGTCTTCATATGGAGAAACCCGTGAAGATCTGGGTTGAATTGATCTTCAGCAACCCATGCTTGTCATAAGAGGTGACTAACGGGATCAGGCGGTCAGGCTCACTGACTTGGTTGACATATGTCATCGTATGCCAATGGTTTAGATCGATGCTCATGCTGTTGATCACTGGATTGACTGGTCCTTACTCGATTATTTTCAGACCACCTCCATATAGTTGGAATATTGCTGAGTGCCACATAAAACTAAACTAAACTCACTCACTCACTTCATATGGAGAGATATACTGCTTATGCAAGACAGTTCACTTTGCAGACTTTTACTCACCTGGTGTTGTAGAGCTGTCCGGCTTCCTTCACTCTGATCCAGGCGACGCTTTACACCGTCCAGTTCAGACTCAATCTGGACAGTTAACAGGAAATATCATTTATAATATGTATAGCACCATATCATTGACACAAGTATTACCACTGCATAATCCTATGAACTGGGAGCAGTTACTAAAACACATGTTACTGATGTCTGGGATAATCGAGGGCCATTATTCTTTTTTCCAAATCAAAAGTCAGAGAAGGAATAGATATGCCTCTTTAAAGCACCGACATCTCTTTCCAAACAGAACTATGGGCCCATTAGAAGAATACTGCTGTGAGGTGGAGAGAGGAGAATATATGAATTTGTCATCTTTTGCACAATCATTGGATTGGCTTCGAACTTTGCTGACTAATGGAGTAAATTTCAACAAAAATGTAATTTTTCAAGTAAAATTGATATTTTATACTTATCCTGACTCATGATCTTTTGCTTATCTCCCTTTCCCTTTCGAATGGTAGTGGAACACTTGAATCCCTTGAAGTTCCCGAAGCGGACATATAAATACACTCACCCACGAGTTACCTCCCTTGTCCTTTCCCGCGCAAACCATATCATGTTTCGTGCCCATACTTGTCACTCTCTCCTTATTTTCCCCCCATGCACTTGGATCTGCTGTGAAATCTCAAGTGTCTTCAACGGGGAGGTCTGGGGGGCTTCTTCGTCATGAGTCAGGATAAGTATAGAATATCAATTTTACTTTAAAAATTACATATTTTTCCTTATCCTGACTCATGATCTTTTGCTTATAGAATCCGACGGATAGGTGGTTGGTAAAGCCACTGGATTCAACAGCTGTCCTTAGATACGTCCTGTATCCCCCCCCATGGGAACTGCGAAACGGCATTTCCGAGGTTCTATTCTTCCAACTTTCGTTGTAACTCAGGAGGACCACTTCTTGCCTTACTTCAATCACAGACAAGTTGAATCATGTTGATTCATGTGGCTACAGATAACTTAGTATTCTCCTATTACTAGATATCTTATAACAACCCATAGATTATGATAAGATCTTTATCATAAATGAGTTGCGACCCCTTCACGTACAGATAAGGTCTTTACCCATACAGGATCTTTAATCACTCATGCTAGCCTGTCTTAGACTGTGCGCATGGACTTTCACACTAATACTTTTCCTTAGTAAAAGTTATCAACAAGTCAGCGTGATAAAGGGTGAGATTTTCCAACTCAGCACCTTTGAGGAACCGTTAGTTGCTGTGCTACAACGAGAGGCCCAAATTGGTGAATGCCTGAGACGTCTTCAGTGGCTATGTCTCGGAGGTAGTGGTTGGCAAACACTGTGTCCGACTTCTAAAAGCAGCCCTCCATAATTGCTGATATAGAGCAATTTCTATGCAGAGCTAGTGTTGACGCCAATGCTCTGACTTCGTGTGGGTTGGAAGCTCTTGGAGGTTCTAGTCCTGCTGCATATAGGCTCTCAATATGACGGCTCTCATCCAGAACAATATCGTCGTTCTTGAGACTTCTGCTGATGTCTCTGTTGATAATGGGATGAACAGGCTCTTGAATTTTCGTCTCCTTGGTAGTCTTTGAAGATATATCTTCAGGGCTCTGACCGGACACAAGGATAGGTCCTCTATATCCTCTGGTCGGAGGATTGTAGATAGCGCTGGTACGTAGAACTGTCTATCTGGCTGACCAGGTAGTTGGTTCTTGGCAATTAAGTCCCATCTAAGTCCTAGATGAACTGCAGCATGTTGCCCTGTGTCGAATCTGGTTCGACCAAAGTCCAGCGCATGTTTTTTGAGCTGCCGTGGCTAGCGCAAGCAGGAACAGAGTCTTCTGTGTCAGCAGCTCGAGTGTAGTTTGGTCTAGAGGTTCGTAGGCATCACTTGTAAGATGACGCAGAATTACATTCAGATCCCAGGGCGGAGCTCTGAACTTCTTTTGCTGGTCCTCCAGTTTAAATGATCTCAGCAGACCAAGTAATTCTGGTACTGTTGTCAACTTGATGCCTATTTTCATGGTAATCACTGTACTGATGGCGGCGAGGTATGTAGATAATGTCGAACCTTTCAGATGTCTGGTCTGTCTAAGATGACACAGGTATTCCGCCACTTGAGGATGAGTAGCTTTCATCGTAATGAAGTCTCAAACTTCAGCCACTTGTCATCATACATGTTACGAGTAGATCTGTGTAACGCTAGCGTTACTGCCTTGGCTGCCCTGGCGGAGTATCCTCTTTTCTTCAAACATGTTTTGATACGGTCCACACGTGTAGCTGGAACAGTGTTGGGTTCCTGTGGACTTGCTTGGTGTGCAGATGTATGAGTAGGTTCGGCCAATCTGGTAACTTGATTGTTGGATTTCCAAATTTTCTATTAGGTCTAGGAACCATACTCTCGCTGGCCAGTATGGCGAGACCAAGGTCAGTTGTAGCGCCTGTGTCTGTTTGATCTTCAACAGTACTTTTGGTAGTAATAGCAGTGGTGGAAACGCATAAGCGTTTAGTCCTTCCCATGATATGTTCAGTGCATCTGTTGCCCAGGCTTGAGGATCTGGAACTGGTGAGACAAATGTGTGTAGTTGTTTGTTGAACCTCGTGGCAAACAGGTCTATGCATGGGGATCCTATTTCCCTTATGATAAGCCATAATGCTTCTGGATGCAGTATCCCTTCTGTAGGTGACGGGTGCAGTGGTCGGGAGAGAGCGTCTGCAAACACGTTCTAATTGGCTCCGGGTATGTGACATACCTTTATCCAGATGTTTGCCTCCTCCATGATGTCAAACAAATGGAATGTGAGCTGTAGTAGGCTTGGTGATCTTGTAGATCCTTGCCGATTTATGGAGAATGCCACTGTAGAGTTGTCCGTGTGGACCATCAGCATTCTGTTGATCAGTGAGCTCGACCATAGTTGTAAGGCATTGATCACAGCTTTCATTTTCAGCAGATTGATGTGAAAATGTTGCTGTGTTTGTACCACTTCCTTGATGCAACTTGATTGTTGAGATGTGCACCCCAACCTTGTATCGATGCGTCTACATAGAGATGTGTGTTATAGGCGGCTCTTGTAAATAGGTCCCTCCGCAGACGTTCGACCTGTGGGTCCACCAAAGTAGGTACCTCTTAAGATTGTCTGGCAGCAAGATAGGGTCGATGCTGTCCAGATGTTTTGTCAGGAACCGTTGCAGCGGCCTTAGATGTAATCTTCCTGTGCGAGTCAAGTCCTGCGCCGAGGTTAGTAGACTGAGTTGACATTGCCTTTTTCGTAGTGTTAACGGAGAGATGACTGCTTGTGGAATCATGGCTTGTATCTTGATCCAATGATCTTCTGGGACCACAATTCAATTCTGTGTAGTGATAATTCTTATTCCAAGCAATTGAAGATCTTGTTTGATTCTAACTCCAGCTTCATCAGGTTCACTAGCCATCCTAGTTGCGTGAACAACTTAATTGTGAAGTTCAGCTGCTGTCTGAGTTGATTGGCACTTTGAAGGACCTGTATGCCGTCGTCCAGGTAACCGGCACTGCATAGATCTTGATGCTGCAGATAGGTGCCATTAGGCTTGGTTATTCGTATGAATAATCATAGAGCCGACGATATTCCAAACAGTAGGAGGGAGGGAAGGGGAAATTGGGTTTAACGTCATGCTTGAGAATATTTCGCTCATATGACGACGTGCATGCGTGTGTATGTGTATGTGTGGCTGCTTGTACTAGCCCAGACTGAAGCTGGTTTTATAGTGCTAGCCCACTGAGATACCATGCCGCAATGAAGCATGAATACCCCACTCAGACACATTATATTGACTCTGAGGGGACCAGTCCTTGTTGTACCCATTAATGGCGAACGCCAGGCAGGGACCAACAAGTACCATATTTTAACGTCTTTTGGTATGACGCGGTCGGGGATCGAACCCGCGACCTTCCGCTCTCCAGGCTGACGCTCTAACCACTACACCACGGAGGCGGTCCCAAACGGTAGGACGTTCCATTGGAAGTGCTAACCTCTGATTGCAGTGATGATACATCATTCTTCCCCTTATATACACAGGCGATCTGTGTTGACATCGAAGCGTTGCTTATTTATAGCAAGGCTGGCTTCAGACTTTTATCAGCGACAACTCCCAAAATAGACATTGTTTATCCTGCTGTCAAGGCTAGACATCTATTAGATTCCCATGATGATAACAGGCCATAGTTGTATACTGTTTCCAAGGCTGCCGATGAGGTATTCCCCATACCACGGGTTTGTTTACAAATCAGAAAACATGCTGGAGCCTGCTCTGTCAGTAGGAGGCATTGTCTGACGTGGACCAATCAGCTTCAAGTATGACGTCACCGGTGTTGTAGCAAGTTGGCCTCCATAAAATCTGATGCAATTTGTTGGTTGAGTAAAAGCGCGCGTAGTTCTACGCTGCTCATATAAACCTCTTGAATAAGGGTTGCTCCAAGTGTTAAATCTTGTTCAGTGATATAAATCACATATTCCCATTGTGGATAATATAAGCCAGCATGACGAAGGAGGCTGTCGAGACGTATGTCTATATGGATCTTGAAGAAATACCGAAGTTGAATCTAGTTGATAGGATATAAAATCCTAATCCCCACGCTGAGTGACGAGTGTTAATAATATCATCTGTACGTCCGTTCAAGGATACTTGAAGGCGTTGTTAACCTTAAGCCCTTAATAAAGGTCGCCTTGAGGTTCTCCAGTACTTGAGATATCGGCTTCATAGGTGATATCATATTGGAGTCGAAATCATCAGCGTATATGCAGTACGTCTCTGTTGGGTTGGAGTGAGTGAGTGAACGACAATATCTGCAGGCCATCTGCTACCCGGTATAAGACCTCAGCATCCGTATAGATGAAGTGATTCCTATCATCAAGTAGGTTGTCGTCCGAAACTGAACTTATACAGGTATAAGGTTTGTGCAGGTTGTAGAGTTGTGCAGGCTGTAAACTGTAGAGATCTCACATGTTAAAGATCTTTTAGTTGAGTTTTAAACTCTGACAAAACCATCCGTTTTCATCATCGCTTCGTTTTATTCAGCCGTATGGTAATAGAGTCCACGTCAACATCCTGTCTGTTGATGTAAGGGTTTGTTAACCCTAGGGTTCGCGAACCCTGTAGATGTCTGTGTTGCTGTTATCTGCCTGTAGATCTGAGAGTTCTTGAACCTTGTAGATGTCTGTAGCTTTCTCAAAGCTGTGCGTAGGTTAGAAGGTATGTTGGATATAGGTTCAATCGGAGGAATAGTCACCGAGTCAAAGTCGTCATTATGCATCTTATAAGTGTAGACTTCATCTATATCCTTAGAAGGAGACTCCAAGTTCAAACCATTGGCTATCCAATCTATAACCTCTGAGTCCGGGAAGACGAAGTCTGGTTATTCATCAGTTATCTCCTGATCGGTAGAGCTAGGCCTCCGCAAAGCATCCTTCTGCAAACCTGTATCCCTTCTCGAAGCTCCATCATCCTTTCGCGAACTGAAGATTCCTCCCTTCGCGAACATCTATCTTGAGAGTCCTCTCTTAGCGAACCTCTATCTGTAGATTCATCTCTTCGCGAACCTCTGTGATGTGAGCTTTCTCTTCGCGAACGTCTGTCGCTAGATGTATCCCCTTCGCGAACGTCTGTGACGTGAGCCTTCTCTTCGCGAACCTCTGTCTCGTATTGAGTGACTTCGCGAACCTCTGTGAGAGATATGAGATCTCGATCTAGAGCGGCTAGGTGTAGGAGATGGATCCTTCGATGTTCTCGAACGTTGAGGGTTCGCAGATGTAGAATGATGAGTAGGCATCTCATGTCTTCTATCCTCCTCCAAGATGACAGAGTCGTCCGACTTTGAAGACCTTCGCAAAGGTGTACGTTCGCCAACGTAGTCTTGAGACGTAGTTCTCCGAGGAGTACGTTCGCACAGGTCCATAGGTTTGCACACGATGTCAGTAGAAGAGAGGCTTCGCCCGAGCCTTCGCTTCTTCCTCGAACCTACGTTCCATCATGGCCATCATCTGGTTGGTAATTGTCTCATAATTTCACCGGATCAAGTTCTGCATTGATTGAAGCTGCTGCTGTGTAGAAGAAGCGTTCACGAATGCTGATGAGTTGTGTGCCTCGACTTCACTCCGTTGAGAAGTTGGTGGTAGTTCGTCAAACAACTGGCCTGCTGTGACCATTGCAGGAGATGATCTAGTAGTCGTGGAAGTCGATTGAGTCGGCGATCTTGTAGGTACTTTGGGTAGAAGTAACTGAGGATCATCAAAAAACGTCTACTTCATGCTTCAGGTAATATCTCTTCGTTCAAGGATTTCTGATGCGTAGACTTACTAGGCCGCGTAGATTTACCCTCCAATCTGGTAACAGATGCTTTCTTCTGCGACGTAGAAGAAGATGACGTCTTTTTCTTAGCTTGAGTCGGAGACAACTGCGTTGTAGCCGATCTCTTCTTGGCCCCGTACCAGCAGACTGCCCCTGCAACGTACTCAACATAGCACCAGTATTATGAATGTCAGCAGTAGCAAGCAACGTACGGTTTGAAGGCTGATCTCCTGTTTTATCAGCCGTGGCTTGAGATGACATGGCACGTCTATAGATATAAGACTAAATTGTAGATTTGATAAATCAACACAATAAGTACAGCGCAAGCTGGAAGAACATGGTTTTATGCACGAAAGGCATTGGGGGTGAGGATCAGCCACGGATAACCTGTGCCTGCAAACACTGCAAGATTTCATGAAATGTAAACAAAGTCAAATAACGATGAAATTATGACACAAATACAAATAATTTTTACAATTTTTTTACATATAATACATAGTAGTTATAGCCAAATCCATACACAGCGTAATTTTGAAGAATAGGACCTAAATATAAAGGATATAATGCCGTATACGGGACTCCAGTGCTCGCCCAACCATACACTCGGGCGAAAACGGAGAAGTGACAAATAAGGCTGGTCACATGACTGTTTGCGCGGGAGAAGGGAGGTAACTCGTGGGTGAATTATTTTTACGTCCGCTTCGGGGGAACTTCAAGGGATTCAAGTGTTCCACTACCATTCGCAAGGAAAAGGGAGATAAGCAAAAGATCATGAGTCAGGATAAGAAAAAATTATGTGTATCAAGGACGATGGACATAACTTTAGATTTAGTATGCAAGGCATTTCACTAAGACTTGTTGACATGAGAAGACCCCACTTAAATATGGTCTTAAATCTTTTCAAAAAGCATGTACTGAAACAGGATGTGGAAAACTAAAGCATTGGGAAAGGGAGGGGAACTCCAAATTATATTTTATCTATTGAATTTCATTTCACACACTATGCACTATGTTGAAAAGCAAGGATGAAGGCCTTAACTCTGGAAAGTAGGCAATTTTAAAGACACCAGTTCTGAAACACTTTGGGACTGATATTATCAGTGCATACAGTTTCATTTCTCCAACATAAATAGTTAAACATCCCCATTGAGAAGCAGTCAGCTGGGTGAACTCTGTTCATATATTACTGATAATAGTATCACTGGGTAATCAATAAACATCAAGGGTACTTACAACACCAAATGGATATATGTATTATCACTGGGTAATCAATAAACAGCAAGGGTACTTACAACACCAAATGGATGTATGTACTATCACTGAGTAATCAATAAACAGCAAGGGTACTTACAACACCAAATGGATATAAGTACTATCACTGGGTAATCAATAAACAGCAAGGGTACTTACAACACCAAATGGATATATGTACTATCACTGGGTAATCAATAAACAGCAAGGGTACTTATGTAACACCAAATGGATATAAGTACTATCACTGGGTAAGTACTATCACTGGGTAATAAACAGCAAGGGTACTTTACAACACCAAATGGATATATGTACTATCACTGGGTAATCAATAAACAACTATCACTGGGTAATCAATAAACAGCAAGGGTACTTACAACACCAAATGGATATATGTACTATCACTGGGTAATCAATAAACAGCAAGGGTACTTACAACACCAAATGGATATATGTACTATCACTTAGTTATCAATAAACAGCAAGGGTACTTACAACACCAAATGGATATATGTATTATCACTGGGTAATCAATAAACAGCAAGGGTACTTACAACACCAAATGGATAAAAGTACTATCACTGGGTAATCAATAAACAACAAGGGTACTTACAACACCAAATGGATATAAGTACTATTACTGGGTAATCAATAAACAGCAAGGGTACTTACAACACCAAATGGATATAAGTACTATCATTGCGTTATCAATAAACAACAAGGGTACTTACAACACCAAATGGATATAAGTACTATCACTGGGTAATCAATAAACAGCAAGGGTACTTACAACACCAAATGGATATAAGTACTATCACTGAGCATTACCTTGTGTTTCTGAGTCTCAGCATGGAGGGACTGGCTCCGTATCCTTTCATCGATGAGCATAGGCAGCTGCTGCTGCTGTTGTACTGCCTGCCCAAACACAATCAACATCTCATCTCTTCATAGCCTCACACGGTTTTGCCTCACAGACATATGAAAAGCATTAAGAATTGCTAAGAAACTGCAAAAGGTTTCAAAACACTTAGGTCAAATCCAGATAAATATTTTCCATATCATGAAAAACAGAACATTTGTCTTGTGTCTAATTCATATCTTTTTCAATACTGCTGCCATGATGACCACAATCAAAATCAGAGTCAAACCTCTCAAACAAAAAGTAGTGTCGTCATTGGGGGAACAAGATGCAGCTTTACAAGTCCCGTGGATACAGAGCAGATATTTAATGCAGACACAATGCATGATACGCAAATGACAAAAGGGCCATGACATTAGCTCATTTCAGTTTTAGTCAGGTTATCTAAGAGGTTAATTACTGTTTCTGAATTTGGTTCATCAATTTCTAAAGTCTACACATAAGTATTGTTTACATGACAATGTTAACTGACATTTCTCAGCTCTGACGAGAGTGTCCCCAAATCGTCATGCCTCTCTGTAGCCATTCTGTCTGTGCGCAGCTCATTCTGTATCTGCAGCAGACGGCGCTCCACTCGGTTGTCAATCTGAAACAATCTCTCATAGCAGCAATCTCATAGCAGCAAGCATACCTTACAAATGACTGGGACTTTTTGGTTTCAGGCATTTGTGTGGGATTGGGTGGAGTAGGGGTACAAAAGGGCAATTTCTGCTTGGACTGACAATGTCACTACAAGGTAATTTGGTCAGACAGTTTAACATGAGCCTCAGGTATATCAAAGATCTGATATTGTTCAATAACGATCATGCAGAGGTTCATTAATCTACAATAAATGCTTTCTGAAGTTTTAGCCTTGAGGATGACCCTGACCCTTGACCTTTGACGTTGCCACTATTTCAAATGTCAAGGACTATATAAAATATATAACTGACATACCCCTGAGATATCCAATGACCACTGAAGAGTAGCAGAGGTCAAATACAGACAAACCCTTACAGCATCACGATCCAACAATGGTTGATAGCATGAGCAATGATGACACACTATCATACAGTACCAGCCACGGTGGTAGGTGATCAACTGATCTTGTCTACCAACACATGCAACACATGCAATACACCTTAATCATGTAACATACACAATTTACTGTTCACTTAATAAACACATTACGTTAACAGCGTGATAATGTTTTTGACATGAAACAGATATCCAGGGAGCAGATAAAGTGAGTGAGTGAGTTAAAACTTAACGTCACCTCAGCAATATTTCAGCCATATAGTGACAAGCAGATAAAGAGCTTTGCAGTACCAATACAACAAGCAAACAGTCAACTATTTAGTTCAGGTATATTACTCACTGAATCACTTGGGGTCATCTTCTTCATGCTGTCTGTTATATCTCGTAGTGAATGTTTCGTGTCAGTATCATACCTGTACAAAATAAAACGGAGGAATGCAACATTCATGTAGATGCTCACAACAACCTCGGTTTCTATCCCTAAACAGTTCCCATACCCGTCTCTCCTTTACCATTCTCTCCCTAAACAGTTCCCATACCCGTCTCTCCTTTACCATTCTCTCCCTAAACAGCTCCCCTACCCGTCTCTCCTTTACCATTCTCTCCCTAAACAGTTCCCATACCCGTCTCTCCTTTACCATTCTCTCCTAAACAGTCTCCCTATCTGTCTCTCCTTCCTTACCATTCTCTCCCAGTTCCTAAACTGCCATCTCTTCCCTCTCCCTAAACAGTTCCCATACCCGTCTCTCCTTTACCATTCTCTCCCTAAACAGTTCCCCTACCCGTCTCTCCTTTACCATTCTCTCCCTAAACAGTTCCCATACCCGTCTCTCCTTTACCATTCTCTCCCTAAACAGTTCCCATACCCGTCTCTCCTTTACCATTCTCTCTCTAAACATTCTCCCCTAAACAGTTCCCTATCTGTCTCTCCTTTTACCATTCTCTCCCTAAACAGTTCCCATACCCGTCTCTCCTTTACCATTCTCTCCCTAAACAGCTCCCATACCCGTCTCTCCTTTACCATTCTCTCCCCTAAACAGTTCCCCTATCTGTCTCTCCTTTACCATTCTCTCCCTAAACAGTTCCCATACCCGTCTCTCCTTTACCATTCTCTCCCTAAACAGCTCCCCTACCCGTCTCTCCTTTACCATTCTCTCCCTAAACAGTTCCCCTACCTGTCTCTCCTTTACCATTCTCATTCTCTCCTAAACAGCTCCCATACCCGTCTCTCCTTTTACCATTCTCTCCCTAAACAGTTCCCCTATCTGTCTCTCCTTTACCATTCTCTCCCTAAACAGTTCCCATACCCGTCTCTCCTTTACCATTCTCTCCTCTCCTAAACAGTTCCCCCTATCCCCGTCTCCTCTCCTTTACCATTCTCTCCTAAACAGTTCCCATACCCGTCTCTCCTTTACCATTCTCTCCTTTAAACAGCTCCCATACAGCCCCATACCCGTCTCTCCTTTACCATTCTCTCCCTAAACAGCTCCCATACCCGTCTCTCCTTTACCATTCTCTCCCTAAACAGTTCCCCTATCTGTCTCTCCTTTACCATTCTCTCCCTAAACAGTTCCCATACCCGTCTCTCCTTTACCATTCTCTCCCTAAACAGCTCCCATACCCGTCTCTCCTTTACCATTCTCTCCCTAAACAGCTCCCATACCCGTCTCTCCTTTACCATTCTCTCCTAAACAGTTCCCCATACCCGCCTCCTCCTTTACCCATTCTCTCCTAAACAGTTCCCATACCGTCTCTCCTTTACCATTCTCTCCCTAAACAGCTCCCATACCCGTCTCTCCTTTACCATTCTCTCCCTAAACAGTTCCCATAATTCTCGCCTCTGTCTTTACCATTCTCCCTAAACAGTTCCCCTCTATCTGTCTCTCCTTTACCATTCTCTCCTAAACAGCTAAACAGCCCCATACCTCGCCCTCCTTTACCATTCTCCCCTAAACAGCTTCCCATACCCGCCTCCTTGCAATTCTCTCCCAAAGCTCCCCTAATTCGTCTCCCTTCCCATTCTCCTCCCCTAAACAGTTCCCATACCCGCCTCTTTACCTTTACCATCTCCCTAAACAGTTCCCCGATAACCGCCTCCCTAAACCATTCTCCTACCTTCTTAAACACTCAACTGCCTCCTGATGATGATTTCAGACCCGCTATTTCTTGGCTTCTGGCTATGGCCAATATGCCAGGGTAGAGTGGGAGCTTAATATAATAATACCCAAACAAAATGTAAACGGGATAAACCACCATACCCAAACATAAACCTTAAAAACATGGAAAATAAATTGAAAAAATCGCTGGCGAAAAAAGATTTGCCACGAGTAATAACAACCAAAGCCGCCCGCGTTCGGCCTTGGAGGACCTATTTGCCGTGAAACGGATTGAGGTAATCGAGAGATTGTCGTCATCACCGGATCTGAAATGTAATGTTCTCACCGCAGCCTCAACACATCTTCCTCAACCTTCACTACATAGCGACGAAGCTGTTCTCCTCAACTATTCTACTCAAGCGATCCCTAACACATCCTCAACCCTTTCTCACTATAGCGATCTTAGCTTTTCCTCAACCATTCTCTACTTTACATCTTCCTTGATCTGTTCAACTCTTTCACTCATTTCCCTATCTGTCTTCCTTCAATTTTTCACTAAATAGCGACGAAGCACTTCTCCTCAATATTCTCACCAATCAGCCTTGCTGGTTCCCTTCCCCAACTATTCTTCACTCAAATAGATCCTCACCTGTGTCTTTAACCTGTACTTAGATCCCTACCCACCTGAACCCTTTCCACTTATCTAGCTGTTCTCCTCAACCTTTCACTAAATAGCTCCCCAACATCTCTTTAACCTTTCTCTACTCATGACGCTGTTGTCTTCAATCTTCACTAAACAGTTTCCCTTCTGTTCTAACCTAACCATCTACTTTAAATAGCGACGCCGTTCCTTCAACCCTTCTCTTCACTGAATAGCGACCTTTGTCTCTACTATTCCATTCTCTTTAAGTGGCTTCCCTTGCTGCCCTTCCTTAACTTCTACTAAATAGATCCCCTACCTGTGTCTCCTCAACCCTTTCATCTCACTAAACAGATCCCTCACCTGTTCTCTTCCTCAACCCTTCTCTCACTAAATAGCGACGCTGTTCCTCCTCAACTATTCTTCACTAAACAGCTTCCCTTTGGCTGGTTCTCCTCAACCATTCTCTACTCACCAGCAGATCCCTCACCTGTGTCTCTTCAACCTTTTCTCACTAAATAGATCCCCCTACCTGTCTCAACTCTGTTTCTCTACTCAATAGACCCCTACCTGTCTCTCCTCAACCCTTTCTCTCACTCAATAGATCCTCACTCTCCTCAACCATTTCTTCTCATCCCTTCTCTCACTAAATAACTTATCTAGCTGTCTCTCCTCAACCATTCTGTCTTTAAACCTTTTATAAGTTCATCATGATTCACTTGATAAATATGTGTTTAAAACATTTGTTGGTTGTAAGCATTTATTATACTATATCTATATTAAATTCCAAATCTCTATTACTCTTTACCTATTTCACATTTTTTACCTTTCTAAATCGGCCTCCCATCTAAAATTCCGTTATTACAAGTTGGGTCTTTTTGGGTAGTAACACCACTTACTCATTTCTTAATAAGTGTACTACCCCATCACAGAAATACCTTAGTTGTACGTGCGACGCTAAATAAAGCAAGTGCGATGCTAAATAAAGCAAATAACTAACTAGCACCATTCTCTCACTAAATAGCTCCCCTACCTGTCTCTCCTCTCCATCTCCCTGTTAAAACTTTCCTCCAGCCTCAGCTGCTCTGAGGACAGGTCACGGACAGACTGATGAATCCCATGCAACTCTTTGTTCATATCATCTGCAAATCGCACCATTGCTTTCCTTTTCCTTTTGGTGTTGGAACTAGGAGAATCATTATCACTCTGTAGAACAAAGAGTAAGACATTCACTGATAATGCTGATGCATGATACACACACAATTGTATTTTCTGACTTATGCAGTATGACTATGACATTAAATAATAATAACAATAATAATGTATATCGCCACGGATAAGGTGGGTTGTTTGTCCCTAGAATTAGAGGGGTTTGAAGGGGGGTCACCTTATGCAAGGGGTAGAAGCTCTCACATTTGTTCCTGACTGATGATGTCAACCAGTGCCCAATAGCTGCTCATGTTGTTTGACAGATAAATTCACACTGCATTCTAAATAACTGTTCCAACTGTTTTGGTATGTAAGCTTGTATGTGAATCCCATGTTCATGCAATACATATTCTACAAATAACGTTTAACTGAGCCTTGCCTTGATTACGATTGCCCAGCCAGCTGACATGGTGAGAAAATCAGGGGTACATAAATTATCATCAATTTTGAAGATTTGTACAAGGGGGGTCACCTTATATGGTACTACTATTGCCCTACCATCCACACATAAGGTGTATGCTCAAGGGGCTAACATTATTATCCTAGTCAGTGGAACAGTGTACACTAGAACCAAAGCTGCCTGTAAGGTGCTACAAGGTCAACAGTCATATGACCATCTCTTCCCACAAGGTACCCATTCACTGCTGGGTGAACAGAGGCAATTTTGAACAATTACTTCTTACACTATAAAGCTTGTGTCCATACCCCATAATCTCTCTGTCATAGAGTGCCTCTCGGTACCTCTCCTGACGGATATCCTCGTGAGTTCGGTCAAGGTCATCTCTTAGCTGCAACACGAAGTAAATCCAAATACCAGTTCATGAACATGGGAATCATCTTGACACATGTTTACTATGTACTCAGCAACTCCAGGGCTGGCTTTCCCCGGTGTGTGTGTGTGTGTGTGTGTGTTGGTTCTGCATGCTGTAGTCTGCTGTGTGTACCTACCCTGTCAACTGCAGACCTCCTTTCATTCCCCACACTCCTGTAATTGTCCAGCATCTGGTCGAGAGATCGGAGATTACGTGTTGTGTCCTGACAAAAAAAGCAAATAATTGTATTACACAGTAGCAACTCTGGAGCAACTTTCGGATCTTGCGTAGAGAAACACCCTTAACCAAGGTCATACCCTGAGCATCATAACAATGAACAACAGCTCTCTATTATACACTACAAATGCATTCTGCAGTCATGGTGTTTGGTTGAACACATATTTGAACGGTACAGTACATACATACATATATATACACATATACACTGTACGGCTGCCATGATTCACTCACATATTGAATCAAACAGTATGAATTCAGTTCACTATTCATTGTCACTAGAGTCAAATATCCATGCATATTTTTAAAGGATTGTTTTTACTTTATTTGGGGTGATATTCATCAAAGTGAAATCTGCAAAATAGAATATATTCAAACCAGGCAGGACTGAAGTAAACATTCTTATATATTTATTTGACTGTAATGTGGTCACTGGTCATTGTTGTGATAAACTAACACTGTGACAGACGTTTCAAAGAATGGATTGTGTAATTGTTTTACTGCTGACTTGTTATTGTCTTCATTACTCAGTATTCGTATTCAATGCCCAATATTTGTCATATGGATTATAATGGCCTCATAGCGACTTGTTGCAGCCCTTATGTACTGTACTATCGTTTGGTGCTGACAAGCCCAGACACAGGGCAAATCCTGGATTCAACCATTCCATCATAGTTTTCTGGCATATCAAAGTACTGATCCCTGCAGAGCAAATTCCTGAGACTTACATAACTGGTGCTCTTGTGCTTCCAACTACATTCAGGAGCAATGGCACACATGTTTAGAGAACATGTTTCATATGAAAATTGGGAAGACACACAACCACCATTGCCTCAATGCACCAAGACCAGCCTGCTGTCATATGGCAGGGTAATTCATTGTTAAACAATGTTTTAATTGTATCAGGCTGTTTTAGATAGGGTTCCTAGTACTGTGTGTTGACAACAGTTAGTTGTCTGGATGTCTTTCTGACATAAGTAGTGGAATCCACAGGCCCTCGTGTCTTTGTGAGAATTAAAGATTTTGAAAAAATATATAAAATTTGAGATGACCCCCTGACTCGAAATGCCTCACAGTACAATACATTATGACAAGGCCGGACACTTCAGTGTACCCCACCCGCCTGCTTTGCCGATAGCTACGCTACCATCGCATGCAATTGATTAAAACTTAATGTAAACATCACAAGCATTGTCACTAAGGTGACATAATCCCCGCCGCAAATTATCAAATCAAACTTATAAAGTAATGAAAGTTTAAGTTTAAGTTAAATGTCAACAAAAACATGACCAATCAACCTCTCTTGATATCTTGCTCTTTAGGTGTTCAAACACGCACATATTTTCAAGACTGACTTTGACCTTTACATGAATGTCATAGTGTATGAAATATGCAAAAATAGTACTAAAGAAATCACTTATTGAAAAACATTCAAGGGAAGTCTTGAAAGTCTATGAAGAAAATCCAGTGAACTGTTCTTGAAATATCTTGCTGACAATTCAGGTTAACATGCTGAAATCTTCAAAGTGTCGTCGTGACCCTGAAAATTATGTGAAGGTCACCAAAATTGACTGGGCCCTGGGCCTTCCCTAGATGAAGCTTGGTGTCAAATATCAAGAAAATCCAGTGAATATATTTTGCGATATCTTGCTGACTATCTTAACATGCAATTTAACATGCTGAAATCTTCAAAGTGTCTCTGTGACCTTGAAATTAAGTGAAGGTCACCAAAGCGACTGGTCCCTGCGCCTTCCCTGGATGAAGCTTGGTGTCAAATATGAAGACAATCCAGTGAATGGTTCTTGGGGTATCTCATATCTCGCTGACAAGCATAACATGCAGGTTAATATGCTGAACTCTTCACAGTGTCTCTGTGATTTTGAAACTTAAGTGAAGGTCACCAAAATTGACTGGGCCCTGCACCTTCACTATATAAAGATTGGTTTCAAATATGAAGAAAATCCAGTGAACAATTCTTGAGATAGCTTAACATGCAGGTTTACATGCTGAAATCTTCAAAGTGTCGCCATGACCTTGACAATTATCTGAAGGTCACCAAAACTGACTGGGCCCTGCGCCTTCCCTAGGTTAAGCTTGGTTTCAAATATGACGAAAATCCAGTGAACAGTTCTTGAGATAGCTTAACATGCAGGTTTACATGCTAAAATCTTCAAAGTGTCGCCATGACCTTGACAATTATGTGAAGGTCACCAAAATTGACTGGGCCCTGCGCCTTCCCTAGATAAAGCTTGGTTTCAAATATGAAGAAAATCCAGTGAACGGTTCTTGAGATAGCTTAACATGCAGGTTTACATGCTGATATCTTCAAATTGTCGCCATGACCTTGACAATTATGTGAAGGTCACAAAATGGACTGGGCCCAAAACTGTCCTTCCTAGATAAAGCTTGGTTTCAAATATGAAGAAAATCCAGTCTGAACTGATTCTTGCAAATCTTAACATTCTTTAAAACGTATAGTCCCCTTGTGACCTTGAATGTAAGAATATTTTCACCAGCAATGACTTCTAAACCTATCAGTTGTATGAACCTAGGTACTTAATAAGCATCAAAAAATGAATCTAGTGGGTTCTTAAGATATTCCAATTCATACACCCATTTCCCATTTTGTCCGACATATCGTCATCCATTTGTGCCAAGATCGTTTAGTTGAGGGTCAAAATCGGGTTTCAATCGACTTGCAGAAATAACAATAAAGAATTGGTAGGTGTCATGAGTGGTGATCGATAGGCCAATCATCCATGATTATGTTTACATTAAGTTTTAATTGATTGCATGCAATGGTATCGTAGCGATCGGCAAAGCAGGCGGGTGGGGTACACCGAAGTGTTCGGCCTTGTCATATTGTATTGTACTGTGAGGCATTTCGAGTCAGGGGGTCACACAGACCAGGGGCTTCTGTGGAGATCCTTTTCTTCACCCCAGTTATCCAGCTAACACCTATATTGGAAGCTTAACCACTGTTGCTGCTAGCTGTATATTAATATCTCTGACTTAGATATCACCAATCCTATTTCATTACATATACGCTACTTCATGGTAATTGTACTGCGACTGTAACTAGTTGGAAGAAATTTAGAACTACTGATTTAAAAAACCTATTGAATTCTACAATACTTACAATGTCTTAATTATCTTGACACATGGCAAGATTAAGTGTTTATAAATGTACGCAAACAGAGAGAAGATGCATATTCAACTGTCACTCCACATCAGAGAAATGATGTGGTTTTGTGCATACTTCCATCTCCTCACATACTGCATATACACTAGCCACATAAAGAAACTGTGCATTGTCAAAATATTATCCCAGTTGATAAGTACGATAACAATGTCAAAGGTACATATAAACTGTAATGGAGGGATCATGAGACCATAACAAGTCGGGAGAATTTTAATTGAAAAGTCAATCACAATGACGTCACAAGCGGGACAGGGGTCAAACGACCATGTCACAAGCTCAATAACGGGTATGTCCACCATCGGCATTGAGAACAGCAGTGCATCAACGACGCATAGAGCCTATCAAACGTGCAAGGAAGGCTTGTGGGATGTCACGCCAGATTCTCTCAAGTTCTGTTGCAAGGTCAAGGACGTTATCTGCAACACAGTTCAAGGATCATATGGACAGCAATGGGTTGCATGAAGTCTATCAATCAGCTTACCGCTGCTTTCACAGCACGGAAACAGCACTTATCAAAGTCCAGAATGACATACTCATGGGTATTGACAAGGACGGTGCTTCCATTCTCGTCTTGTTGGACCTTTCAGCCGCTTTTGACACGATTGACCACAGTGTTCATCTAGCAACTCTTGAAGGAAGATTCAATGTCAAAGGCGTCGTGTTAAAGTGGTTCAAGTCCTACATCTCAGACAGGAAACAATCAGTGGTTATTCAAGGTCAAATGTCACTATCTAGTGACTTAGTGTTTGGGGTACCACAAGGCTCAGTTCTGGGCCCTTTGCTTTTTACAGCCTACACAACCCCTCTTGGTGATATTGTCAGGTCCTTTAACCTCAGTATGCATCTTTATGCGGCTGACACGCAGGTTTACGTGTCCTTCAAGCCTCTCGATTCTGCCTCAACATCTTTCACATCCACAACAGTCCAGGAATGTGTTGACTGTATCAAAATTTGGATGTCAATGCACTGGTTGAAATTAAATGACGACAAAACCGAGCTCATCGTTTTCAGACCCCAGCGGCTCCGGGCAAAACTTGATCTTCCCACTTTCTCTATTGGGCACTGTGAAATCAAACGAAGTTCTCGAGTCCGGAATCTTGGTGTAGTATTTGACTCATCTCTCTGCATGGAACCACATGTCAACAATGTTTGTCGCAGCTCTTATTTCCATATTCGAATATCGGCCTGATACGCAGGTACCTTGACGAAAACAACGAAAGTGCTCTGGTGCAGGTGTATGTAACATCAAGCATTGATTACTGCAACTCGTTGCTCAGTGGTATTCCAAATCATGTGCTACACAAACTACAGAGAGTCCAGAATTCAGCCGCAAGATTGATCAGCAGAACAAAGAAAATTGACCACATTACCCCTGTCATGAAAAATCTCCATTGGCTCCCAATCAAATTCAGAATCCAATACAAAGTATTGCTTCTTGTTTTTAAATGCATCCATGGACTGGTTCCAGGGTATCTTTCACAACTTGTAAAACGCTATGTGCCAACCCGATCTCTTCGCTCCAGTGACCAATCTCTTCTGCAAATTCAATGTACAAGAACAAAGTCTTTTGGTGACCAAGCATTCTCTTCAAATGGTGCAAAACTCTGGAAAAATCTACCACAAGAACTTCGATCACTGACTGAACTTGCATCTTTCAAAAGCTAGTTAAAGACTCATCTTTTTACCAAAGCTTACCTTTAGCTCCAGCCTTTGGGCGATTACATCGGATTCTGGCGCTATAGAAGTATTTGTATGTATGTATGTATGTATGTATGTATGTATGT